GTGAAGGAGGGGTTCTGCAGGAGGGTGAGCATGAAGGAGCGGTTCTGCAGGGGGTGAGCATGAAGGAGGGGTTCTGCAGGAGGGTGAGGGAGCATGAAGGAGGGGTTCTGCAGGAGGGTGAGGGAGCATGGAGGAGGGGTTCTGCAGGAGGGTGAGCATGAAGGAGGGATTCTGCAGGAGGGTGAGCATGAAGGAGGGGTTCTGCAGGAGGGTGAGCGAGCATGAAAGAGGGGTTCTGCAGGAGGATGAGCATGAAGGAGGGGTTCTGCAGGAGGGTGAGCATGAAGGAGGGGTTCTGCAGGGGGTGAGCATGAAGGAGGGGTTCTGCAGGGGGTGAGCATGAAGGAGGGGTTCTGCAGGAGGGTGAGCATGAAGGAGGGGTTCCTGGGAAAGGGGGGGAGAAGGAACAGAGGGCTCTGCCCAGGCTACTGGGGAGACTAGAAGCTGCATCACAGAGACTGCGAGTAGGGTTGATTCCCCCATGCTCTCTCACAGTTGGCTTTGGCAAAGGTCTTATACTACTTACTAACGTAGGAGACTCTAATCGTTTCTGCAGTGAAAGTATAATGCATTTTACAGCCTCATAAGCTCATAGACTCAGGGTAGCCTAACAACTTTACTGGCGGCTTGCTGCCTATGCATGGAGGTGCCCTGCCTTTGGGGCAGAAGGCAGGGCAATTAAGTGGGTGGCAGCTTCCCTGCTCTGATCTGCCCCACTCCTCCGGAAGTTTTGATAACAGTCTGTGATGGGGAGAAAGTGGTGTATTTTCTGTTTTGGTAGTAGCCAGACCACGGCTGCCAGCAGGTTCCAGCATGAGGCTTGAAGACTGGAGCTCGGCAGTAGAGCACTTGCCTGGCATGTATGAAGCCTCCCGTTCAATTCCCCATACCACTGTCAACAAAGAGACACACACAGAAATCAAAAGGGGAAGTTTTAGTCCAACAGCAGTTTATGTGTAAGAATTTGAGGGTTAGTTAGGAGCATTGCATGGCTTAGCACAGAGAATTGGCTGTTATAGTCAGGTATGATGGTTCACACCCATAATCCCAGCATTTGGGAGGCAGAGGCAGAAGGATCACTGCATGTTCAAGAACAACCTGTTTTATACATGGAGTTCTGGGGCAGCCTGGACCTCATACTGAGACCCTGTCTCAAGGGAAGAAAAAGTATACAGTTGCCATGGGAAATGAAGACGCTAATATTAAAGATTTCATTCACTATATTTATAAATTAAGATGGATATATATTTGTAGTAAGGAATTTGAACAACATTAGAAAAAGTTTGGTGGCGCACGCCTTTAATCCCAGCACTCGGGAGGCAGAGGCAGGCAGATCTCTGTGAATTTGAGGCCAGCCTGGTCTACAGAGTGAGTTTCAGGAAAGCCTCCAAAAACAATACAGAGAAACCCTGTCTCGGAAAAAAAAAAGAAAGAAAGAAAAAAAAGAAAAAATTCAGGCAACACTTACACATTGAATATCTCGAATATCTCTATTACATACAACACATCACTGACTAAAATTTTTTTTGTGTCCATATAGAGAGCAAAAAGATATCACCCAAAGTAATGATATTGCACCTAGAATTCAGGTCATACTTTTAATGGTAATGGGTGGTGACTCAGTTAGTGAAATGATCACTGTACAAACACGAGGACCTGAGTTTGGTCCCTGCCATTCACATGAAAATCCAGCTGTGATGGTGCATGCCTGTGTTCCCAGCTCTGAGCAGGCGGAGACAGGAGGGCCCCTGGGGGTTGCTGGCTAACCAGGCTAGCCCATTGGTGAGATCCAGGTTCAGCGAGAGACTCCCGTCTCAAAAAAAAAAAAATGAGGTGAAGAAGCAATTGAGGAAGACATTGACTTTGACACGCATGTGTACTTGTGGATGCTTGAATGCATGTACAAACACGTGTGTGCATATATACATAACTTTGAATGTACTGTTCTAAAATAACTATTAATATTCAACCCTGAGGGATAATACAGAGAGACCTGTGCATTTTTCATTTGGTTTTCCTCACTGGTAACATCTTACAAAAATTGAGCACAATAGCACACAAGCGTGATATTGATATATTTATTTTCTTAACTTTTATTGGTTCTTTGCGGACTTCACATCATGCATTCTGATCCGTCTCATCTCCCTGTCACCTCAAAGCTGCCCTCTGTCCTTGCAACCTCCTCTGCAACAAAACCAAATTCAAAAGTAAAACCCAAAACCAAGCAAAACAAAGAAACAAGAAGAGGAAGAAGAAGAAGAAGAAGAAGAAGAAGAAGAAGAAGAAGAAGAAGGAGAAGGAGAAGGAGAAGGAGAAGGAGAAGGAGAAGGAGAAGGAGAAGGAGAAGGAGAATTATGTGGAGGCTTAATGTGGCCTTTGATTTAATTAACCCTTTAGACCCATTCACCTTCACTTGCAAGTGTTCATTGGTCTGTCTCAAGCCTCTGGTTTTTGCTACTCCACCCATAATGGGCTCTCACTGGGGCTCCTCTTGGATTCTGCCGTTGTCAAGTGTCATGGAGATGCCGCTGGATTTGGTTGGCTCTGTAGGTTCGCCCCCTACACGTGCTCCGACAGTTCATGGATTCTGCGGATGTTGTGTTGGGCCAACTCACAGCCTGGTTGGTTCTGGGCCTGGGTGGTAGCTAGGTTGGTCACCCCACTCATCTTCACTCCCTGAGCAAGCTCTCCAGCACCGCCTCGGTGCTCACCCACTGAAGTCTGCAGCAAGGCAGGCGTAGGGCCAGGTCTCCCGCTCTCAGGTCCTCAGATTCCAGTCATGCACACTCACTAGAGCCGGCTCTCCTGTTTGGCCCAGGCAAGGTGCAGGGCCCTCTCTCCGGATTGCTGTAGGGGGCACACGAGGCACCCCTCCCCCGCCAGACAGGGTCAGCCCTAGTGTGGTGCCCACATGTGTGGCAGAGCCCGCCCCCTCGTGCACGGGCGCGCGTGCGCAGGGCCTGCTCTCCTCTGCGCTGCAGCTGGTGTAGGGCAGGGCTAGCTCTCTCACTCTCGTGACCCCGAGGCCAGCTCTCTCACCTGCTGTGGTAGCAAGGAGCGGAGTGAGGAGGGCATCCTTCCCTCGCCCATGCGACCCGCATAGCATAGCAGACTGGGCTGCGGAGTCCGCTCTGTTGCTCTCATGCCCTCGGAGCTGGCTCGCTTGGCGTCCGGGACAGCAGAGTCAGCTTTCTAGCGTGCGGCCCACATGGGGGAACAGAGGTCCTGTCTCTCCTGTGCTGCAGCCAGTGAGGGTCAGGACTAGCTCTCCCTCCGCCTCTTGTGACCCCGGGGCCAGCTCTTTCACCTGCCACGGGAGGTAAAGGGTGAGGCGGGGGAAGGCATCTTTCTCTCATTCCTGCTACCACGCTCCCTCAGGGGCGAGCGGCTCGACTGTTCGCCTGATCACAGGGTCAGCTCGCCTTAGTGTGCTGCTCAGGTGAGGTACATGCCTGTGGTGAGGGGTGGGGCCCATCCTTCCTGAGCGCAGGGGTGGGATCTCCCCTGACGGGCAGGACCAGCTCCCCTACTACAGTATCCAGAGAGGGGCGGGACCAGCTATCCCAGGGCCAGGGGAAGAGCGTGGCTGACTCAGCACAGGGCGTGGCTGACTCAGCACAGCATGACTCCAGTGAGCCCTTGGGCTAACTTGGGCTTTGGATACCATCACAGACCCCAGCTTCAGAAGGACCAGCGACCCCGACAAGACCCTGGGTAGCAGCTTGAGTCCATGTGTCACCACGGCCCCGGTGGCAGCACAAGCCACTCAGAACAGTATGGTTCCCGTGGCATCATAGTGTCCTGCTACCACCGAGGACCATGTGGATGACCGGGGTCTGGTCAGCCACCAGAGACCATGTCTGTGTCTGAGGAGGACCGTGCCGCTGCCGGGGCCAGGCTGATCTGGGTGGCCGGTGCTGCCACCTAGGGCCATGGAGACACCTGAGCACTGGCTGCTGCTTAGGGCCGTGTCTGGGTCCGTGGTCCTGCAGTCGCTGAGGTCTGGGGTGGTGTCCATGGCTCCTGTTACCACCGAAGGCTCTGCAGATGCTCAGGGTCTGGTCTGCCACCAGAGACCTTGTTGATATACTTTCAAAATTTTTATTTATATATGCATTTTTTTTACATATAAGTGCTCCATCTGCATGCATGCCTTCAAGCCAGAAGAGGGCATCAGATCCCACTATAGACGGCTGTGAGCCTTCTGGGAATTGAACTCAGGACCTCTGGAAGAGCAGCCAGTGCTCTTAACTGCTGAGCCATCTCTCCAGCTCCACGATATTGCTATCTTTAAGTTAATTGTTTTAGTGAGATCTCTTTGTGTCTGTATGAGTCTCATCACACATGAGTGCATCCACAACCAGTCAAGATGCACACCAACCCCACGGTATGAATCCCTTGCATTGCCCCTTTAATGACGGCACTCCCTTATCCACTCATGTCCCTTAGCCATTAACTAGTGGTACAGTTTTCTTTGTATTAAATTTCACTTTTTCCAAGGTAGCCTCTAATAAACAGAATCACATTGTCAAAAAGGACATCTGGATTATTTCCGGGTTTTGGTTGCTATGGATAAATGTTTGTATGTAGTTTTTGTTTAGATATTCATTTATGTGGTTTGAATGATAATGGACCTATAGGTTCATAGGGAATGGCATTATTAGGGAGTGTGGCCGTGCTGGAACAGGTGTGGCCTTATTGGAGGAAGTGTGTCACTGGAGGTGGGCTTCGAGGTCCTAGATGCTCAAGCCAGACTCAGTGTGACCCTCTTCCTGCTGCCTGCCATCTGGATGTAGAACTCTCAGTTTCCCCTTCAGCACCGTGTCTGTCTACAATAACAGATTAAACCTCTGAACTGAAAGCCAGCCCCAATTAATTGTTTCCTTATAAGAGCTGCCATGGCTATGGAGTCTAGTCACAGGAATAAAAACCCTAAGAGTTAATTTTCATTTTATATTCATGAATGTCTGCCTGCACATATATATGTGCACCGTGTGTGCGCCTGATACCCACTAGGTCATGGGATCCTCGGGAACCAAAGTCACAGCTGTTTGTCAACCTCTGTGTGGACGTTTGAAGCTGAACTCAGGTCCTCTGCAAGAGCATCGAGTAAGTACTCTTTTCTGCTAAGTCATCTCTCTAGCCCATGTGTACTGGTGTTGGATGATAAAGATGTATGTCTTCTTTCTCTGTTATTTCTGGGCGATATGTTTTTTGTTTTTTCCTTTTCATTTGTAGTTTTGTAAGAAACAGCCTGACTACTTTGGGAGAGTGAACCATACATTTAGACGTGAGGTGGACCAGTCATCGCCAGTACAGCAACGTGGCCCAGCACTGTCTGACTGTAGCAGCCTGAGGACTTCCCTTGTCAACCTCCCACCCTCAGGTAAAGCTGGTGTTCTGACATCACTGAGGAGAAGAATTTCAGGAGCATCCAGTTTGAGTTGGAGTATAACTTAAAAAAAAACATTTGATTGTGGGCTTACTAGAAAGAAAGGCACTCAGGGAAAAAATAAGACACACTCAAGAGAGAAGGCATGGGTTTTCAGAGGAGAGTCATGCTTAAGTAGCTGTATATGTCATTTTGTTTGCTCTGCCATTACATCACAAAGGGCTGCTAGGAAACTTTTCCCACCTCCTGTTTAATAAATGAGGTTATAAGGTTATAAGGTAGCTCTAGAGTACCTAGATGGAATTATAATCTGATAAAATGAAACCAGGAGCCATAGTGGTTGCATGAGGGCATTAAGACATACCTTTTCATGAAAAGTAGAGTTTCTTATGAGATTCCTGGAAAACTGCAGGCTTACAGCTGGCAAAGGAGAAATGCCATATATCCTTAGGTATTAAGCATGACTTACTGTTTTTTGGTTTTTGGTTTTTTTTTTTTTTTTTTTTTTGGTTTTTCGAGACAGGATTTCTTTGTGGCTTTGGAGGCTGTCCTGGAACTCGCTCTGTAGACCAGGCTGGCCTCGAACTCACAGAGATCTGCCTGCCTCTGCCTCCCAAGTGCTGGGATTAAAGGCATGCGCCACTGACGCCCGGCTGACTTATTGTTGTTTTAAAATGTTGATTTTATTACAATTCTTGATTCTCAGGGGCAAGAGGCCTCAACCAGATTCTAGAACGAGGGTCTTCTCTCCCATCCATGGTTCTATAATTTCCCCTAGCTTTTTATTTGGCCTCCAACGAATTAACTATTATTTAAAAAAGAAAAAAATTGAGTGACTTCATAATATTGTAAAGGACAGAAGAGAGTTTATAATGGTTTCTTCTAGTGGTGAGCATAGACACCCCCACCAAAAACCCCCAAACCACAAAAACCACAGTAGATCGGGGCCTGAGGGACACAAGTGGCTTCTGTTTGTAAAAATCTTTGAATGACCCAATTATACTACCGAGGAGGAGACTCTGAATTCTGCAGTCTACTTCTGCAGCCAGAATAAAGCCTCAGCCACAGGTTTGAACTCACCGTCTCCACACATGCCTTCAAGCTAGATGGCGATGTTCAGCTAGAGACAATTATGGGATAGAAATGTGGAAAGGTCCTGGGGATATCTGACAGGAGAACAGGAGGGAGGCCTGGACCGGAGAGAGGATTTGATAGTCAGCAATATGAAAGTGCTATCATATGTTTCTGGCGGGGTGAGGTAGGATGGGCCATGTTCCGGGTGCCCTCCTTGGTTTAGTGAAAGACCATCTCTCTACTTCCTCAGATTTTCTGCCAAGAATGGCCTTGCTTGAAGGTGGCCGGGCTCTAAGTGACATTGCCCTAACTACATATTTATTGTGTATTTGCTATGAGCCAAATGCTCTTTTTGCTCTGTGCACATAGCAGGAAACAAGACAGATGATAACCTCTCCTTCCACCTATCCTGGCTCATGTTTTCGTTGAGGAAGAGAGATATAATTCATTAAGGAGGCCTCTCTAAGAAGTCAACTATTACAGTCTGAAAAACTTAACTGCCAGTGTGATGTTGTTCCGGGGTGGGGTGGGGGCTTTTAAGAATGCGCTGGCGTGACAACCCTGGCCCAGGAAGGAGTATATAGTCTGAAGATTGACACTCCCGTGTTTCTCCTCATTTGCTACCAGAGTATTGGAACACCAGTTGCTAAGGAATTGGGATTTCCCTGGGAATCTACCTGGTGATGGGGGAAGGGAAAGGCTGAAACCTGTGCTAGTCAAAACAGGAACTTGTCTCCCAGGAAGAGATTTCCCTCCTTTCTGACAACTTACAAGACCACCTTTCAGGGAAGGTTGGAGTTGAGACAGTGATGGCCAGTGATGGGCAGGGCCACACCCTGACCACGACTGATTACTTATGCATTTCTGTTGCCCTCTACTTAAACCTAAACCTCAAGTCAAGACAACAAGACTTGTGGGCCACTGGTTAAAAAAAAATTCCTCTTCCCAAGATGGCCACATTGAATAACCCTCCTTTCTCTGCCTTTTGTTTTTAATTAAACAATGTAAGACTGGTGGCTGAACTTAGCTTGATAGAGATACAGGGACCTGCCCTTGATCCTAAAAACTCCGGAACCACTGGAGCCTTGATTTTCAACATTCTGGCATCAGAACGATGCGAACTAAGTTTTGTTGTTTCAAAGTTGCCCAACTCTTGATATTTCGTTAGGAATACAAACAGAAACCTAAGACATGATGTTTGAACAAACCCTGGAAGGAGGAAAGTCTGCTAGCTATCCATGGGAGTGCCTGAAGGCGTTCCAGATTGAGCCAGGAGTGTTCATGTGTGTTCATGTGTGTGTGTGGGACACAGAGACATTGGTTTTCATCACTATAAAACTAATGATGAGGCCAGAGAGCCAGCACAGCCATCCAGAGTGCTTCCCCCACAATCATGAAGACCACAGTTTGGGTCCCAGAACCCATGTAACAGGTTGGATGTCCCTATAAATATTTGTGACTTCAACTCTGAGGCAGGTAGAGCCAGTAGGATTGCTGGGGTTTGCTGGCTTCTGGCCTAGCCAGGAAAATGAGAGTCCAGTTCCAGGGACAGACCCTGCCTCAAAAGCAGTAAGTGGAGAGCTCAGAAGACACCCAGCACTCTCTTTGGGGCCCCACACCTGCACAGTCACACCCATGTGCACATAAACCAATCTTTTTTGTTGCCTTTTTTTTTTTTTTTTAAGGAAGGGTCTTGCTATGTAGTCTTGGCTAGCCTCAAACTCATGGAGATCTTCCTGCCTCTGTCTTAGAGTACACACCACCAGGCCTCAGGCACTCCTTTTAAAAATTATTTGTTTATTTATTTATTTATATTTCGAGACAGGGTTTCTGTGTTGCAGCTCTGGCTGTCCTGGAACTCCCTCTGTAGACCAGGCTGGCCTTGAACTCACAAAGATCCGCCTGACTCTGCCTCCTGAGTGCTGGGATCAAAGGTGTGGGCCACCACCGCCCAGCTCTTCATGCATTGTTTTATTAAATCTTCATTATGACTTTGCAAGGTGGGCATTATCACTGACATTTTGAAGATGAAGAAATAAGGTTAAAATACGTATGCCTTGTAAAGACTTCAAATAATTTTCTAAAAATAAAAAAGAAGAAAAAGGAACTGAAAGTCCTTCAGAGAAAACAAATCTAAGTTGTTTTACAATTTTCCCGAATTTTAAAAAATGTTCACAAAGCTGGGAGTTGGTGGTGCACGCCTTTAATCCCAGCACTCGGGAGGCAGAGGCAGGCATATCTTTGCGAGTTCCAGGACAGCCTCCAAAACAATACAGAGAAACCCTGTCTCGAAAAACCAAAAAAGAAAAAAAAAAAAAGTTCACAAAGATACAAAAAAAAAAAAAAACCAAGAAACTGGAACCATAGGTCACACGCTTCTGAAACTCGCCTTATTGTCCTCTAAGGGGTACATCTTGGTTGGTATAGTTAACTCTTCCTACTCAGGGACTCAGGGCTAGACCACAAGCCTGGTGATGCGGGGTTTGTTACTACCAAGTTCAAGACCTGTGTGGGCAATTTAGTTAGACTGTGAGGAAACCAAAGCCACACCTAAACCAAACCAAACAACAAACTCAGCGATAGGATGCTTGTCTAGCACGGGTGAGGCCTTGGGTTCAGTCCCCAGCACAGGAAAGACAAAAGGAGAAGCGAGAGCCGGCTGGTGGTGGCGTGCGCCTTTAATCTCAGCACTCGGGAGGCAGAGGCAGGAGGATCTCTGTGAGTTCGAGACCAGCCTGGTCTACAAAGAGAGTGCCAGGACAGAGTCCAAAACAATACAGAGAAACTCTGCCTCGAAAAACCAGAAGGAGAAGCAAGCTGGGCTTCTGGGAGTCAACTTCACACCGGTCACTTTACCTTTGGTTTTCTCCATTTTTAAGAAAGGGCAGAGGACAAAAGATTCTGCAGTGTCATGCCAACAAGCTGGGAACATCGGTCCCTTCCCATTCTGTGACTATCTGGAGCGTTCGCAAGGTCCAGGCCTATTTTACTTGGACCGAGGCAGCGGGTGTCAGCAACTCGGGTGACACTCAAGGACTAGCAGAAAACTCCGCGGAGCAGAGACACCCGGAACCGGTCGAGAGAGAGAGAGAAGTGGAAGGGCGTGACGCCGGCGGGGGCGTGGCGCCGGCGGGGGCGTGGCACGCGATTGGTGGGCAGGCCGTGGCGTGACGTACCAGGCGCCCTCGCTCTCCCTAGCTCCGCCCCATGCCTTCAGGCCCCGCCCCTCCGCCCTTAGCTGCTGGGGTCCCGAGCGGCGCGCGCGCGCGCGCAGAGATGGCGGAGGCGGTGGAACGCACCGACGAGCTGGTCCGGGAGTACTTGCTCTTCCGCGGTTTCACGCATACACTGCGGCAGCTGGATGCGGAGATCAAGGCGGACAAAGAGAAGGGGTTCAGGGTGAGGGGCTGGCGGGGCGGCGGAGACGGATAAACAGGGGAGCGGGCCTCCTGGTCCGGCGCTGCCCTCCGGGGCGAGGGCGGCGCTGTCACTGTGTGGTGGGGGACTGCAGACATCTCGAGTCTGGCCCTCGTTGACATAGGAGCAGCTGAGGCCGGGAGATGGTTGTGACTTGCCTGAAGTTGCTTAGTGAGGCAGGAGCATCGGGGCTCTTGATTCCTGGTCCAGGGCTCCACTTCATTCCAGCCTCTCGGCAGGTGCTAGCCAATGGTTGGCCGGCGTGGCTACGACCCTTTAAGAGCCAAGGCTGAGTTCTGGCAGAATATTCAAATATTGCCTCTCTATGGTAGTGGGAGCAAAAAGGGGTGCAGCCCGGAACGCTGGCTGGGTTCAGGTCTCTGGGAGATTACCAGGGAATTATTGGCAATTTTTATTCTGCGGTTCAGGAAGACCTCACTGCACGTTTTAAAACACAAACTTCTGGGATACTGTTTTCCATTGAGAGGTGCTTGGAAGCTCTTTGCTTATGATGTGTGTGTTTGTATGCACGGAGTTAAATTGGTCCTGGCCAGATGGATTGAGGGAGGTGGTAAGCTAGAAACTGGAAGTAAGGATATTGGTTCCTGCCATGAGAGGTTTTAGTACTTGGTGGTAAAGCAAAGCGTCTCTGCCCCAGACGGCAGTGTCCTGATCTACTTGTAAAACAAAGGAATTGGGTGGACATTGGTATCCAAAACAGTTTTCAGATTGCCCACTCTGGCGTGACTGTCTTCCACTGAAGGGAGCAGCCGACCAGGCTTGGGTAAGACTCTGATGACCTGTAGGAGCCAGTAATCGTGGTGTTTCATGGAACCCTGAAATTTTGGAGACGGTCTCATGTGTTTTCACTCTTACCTATTGTTACAATGTGAGGCAATTGAGACCGAAGTTGAAGTGACATTGCCAAGTTGGTCAAAGAAACCCAACACCTGTAGCCAAAACTCTTGCTTACTTGGAATTTCTGAGCTTACTAGAGGGTCAAGCCATATATGTAATATCAGAAAATAATTTGAAAGCTGTTACATTAACGTATCTTGGAAATTTTGTAGATTGCCAACTGATGTATATGTGGTGTTTTGCTTCGTTTTTTGCCTTTTTTTTTTGTTTTGCTTTTTGTTTTCTGTTTTGTTTTTTCCAGGCAGGGTTTCTCTGTGTAACAGTCTGGCTGTCCTGGAACTAGCTCTGTAGACCAGGCTGGCCTTAAACTCGCAGAGATTGGCCTCCTCTGCCTCCCCACACACACCTGGCTTGATGTCTATGTTTTTACCTCTGGGAGCCACAGGAAGGATACAAAATGTGTTCTATGGGTAGTGCGTTGGGGACGTCCTGTCTTTGGTGGCCTCCAGCGATGCTGTCTCTCGCCAGGTGGACAAGATTGTGGATCAGTTGCAGCAGCTGATGCAGGTATATGACCTGGCTGCCCTTCGGGATTACTGGAGCTACCTGGAGCGCCGGCTCTTCAGCCGTTTGGAGGACATATACCGCCCCACCATCAACAAGCTCAAAACCAGCCTGTTCCGCTTTTATCTTGTCTACACAATCCAGGTTCTTCTTGCTTCTGACTGTTTCCCTGTCCCCTGTGTCTCATTATCTGTAGATCATCTGATTTGTTTTCCCCAGCTCTATGTCCCATTGGTTTTCATGTAAATTTGTGTAGCATTTTAAAGAATATAAACCTCCAGTAATAAAAAATGTAGCTGTAGCTCAGTAGTGGCGGCACATGCATTTAGTTCCAGCACTTGGGTGGATCTCTGGGTTTGAGGCCAGCCTGGTCTATAGAGTAAGTTCCAGAACAGCCAGGGCTGTACAGAAAAAGTGCTGTCTCAAATACAGAACAAAACAAAATGTAACTGATTTGGGGGACTAATTTAGGTTATTTGAACATCATCCAGGGGTTAGCTTTCAGGATGGCATTTGTCGTTAGAACCTCAGTTCATTTTTGTTTTGAAGCTGGGTCTCCTGTATCCCAGGGTGGCCTCAAGGTAATAGAGGATAACCTTGAACTTCTGACCTTTCTGCCTCTGTATTTCCAGTGCTAGGTGTACAGGTGTGTGTCACCATGCCTGGTTTTATTGGGTGCCAGGGATTGAATGCAAGGCTCTATACATTCAAGACAAATGCTCTACCAGCACAGTGAGTTATATCCCTAGCTTCAGAACTTCAGAATAAACCAGCTTTGGAATGAGAAAAGGGTGATGATTTCCTTCTTATTGTGGAGTTTGTCGATGGAGTTTTGTCGATGGCTTGACAGGAGAGAGGTGTTCAAAGGCTGTCTGCTTGGCAACAGCCAAGAACCTGACCTGTGGACTTGTCTCTCTCCCCTCCCTTGCAACCTTCTTTGTATCTTGGCAGACCAACAGAAATGACAAGGCACAGGAATTCTTTGCAAAGCAGGCCACAGAACTCCAGAACCAGGCTGAATGGAAGGATTGGTTCGTCCTGCCCTTCTTGCCTTCTCCAGACACCAACCCCACCTTCGCTACCTACTTTTCTCGGCAGTGGGCCGACACGTTCATCATCTCTCTGCACAATTTCCTGAGTGCCCTCTTCCAGTGCATGCATATCCTTCCTGCCACGTGAGGCTGGGTCCCAGGCTGAGGTACCCAGACACTGTGGTGAGAGGCCACCGCTCACGATACAGCCATACTTTCACAAAACACCCAAAGATCACTGACGTGTGTCAGGTGCAGGACTGGACAAATTGCTGTTATTTTTGTCAGGGGTCCAGGGAGTCATAATTCTTAGTTGTGCAACTGTGCTGTCAGTAACAGCTGAAAGGCACGGGCAGGGAAGTTGGTAACTTCTGGATACTGGTACCTGGCTCAGTCCATCAGCTCTAGGGTTAGGATCAGCCAGCCTTGAGAGTACCCTTTCTGTATGTGGCATGTGTTTCTGGGGGGGGGGGTGTCACTTACATTTGCTGGGCTTTGGTGGCAGATGAAAACACTTCTTGGGCTGGAGCTTTCTGCCCGAGTTTGTGTTTGGTTTACTTTCTGGGACGGTGACCTCAGTGTGCCTCAGCTTGCCAGCGTATACAGGAGCCTTAAGAATATGTATTTGGTTGTTTGAAAGTGTGGGAGGGAGAGAAAACATCATTGTAACTCACTGCCTATAACTATTGTTGAAGGCCCAAGATCTGATGTGAGAACAAGTCTCATTGTTCATGCTTTCTAGGCTGACAATCTATGAGAGAAGGGTTTGGAATGGGACTGCCTGGTGAGGCACTGATAAATTTGGGCGTGGTAGAGAGGTCCACCCACTGCAGCTAGCTGTGCTGATCTCTGGGAAGGACATTTTCTTTTTCTATGTCTTTGTTTTAAGTTAGAAACAAGCTTGTTTCACATGTCAATCCCAGCTCCCTCTCCCTCCCCTCCTCCCCCGCCCTCCCCACCAGGGAAGGGCATTTTCTGATGGACAGTCCTGCCTTTGCTTCCCCTCTTCCTGTGGTGGAAAAGTGTGAATCAGCCTTTACCAGGTCTGCCTTTCTCTTCTCCTTCCTGTTCCTCCTGAGGACTTTCCAAAGAACTTAGCATGGCCACACAGGCCCTCCAGGGCAGCTGGAACCTGTTGCTCTTTATCTTTTCAGTGCAAAACAGGTCATGACCTTGCAAAGTAGGTCGTGCACATTGGAACTTTTGCTTAGGAAAGTTTGCTTTCCTAAGACAGGTGCTACCTGCTCTGTGATTCCGGTGGGACTCTGGGCAGCACCTGAGAAGGACCAGAACCCTAAGCTAGAGTGTGGGTTATTCATGGGGTGTGTGTGGTGTGCAGTCTGCAGAATGGGTTTCTATCTAAATCTCTGCCAGGGAGAGACCCAGCATGGAGAAGTGGCTGATCCTGCTTCCGGCTTTGCTTTTAGCTGAGCCGTTGGCATTGGCCTTGCTAAAGCTGAGACCGTGGAGTCTGCTGAATACTAGCTCTTTACCCGGCTGGTGCTGGGGGAAAAGGCCTGAGTTTGGTTTCTGTCTTATGCAAGGACTGGCCAGGCAGTTTGTCATGCGTCTCTGAGTTCAGCAGAGTCAGGTGGTCTGGAGTAGCAGTCCCGGAGACTGGAAGAGACTCCTTTCCACAATGCCCATTCTGTCCTCCGTTCCCTGTGGCTTGCCGGGGAGGACTTTGGAATCTTTCTGGGCAGACTCATTCCTTAACTCTGTGCACCAGTGCCTGTGATCCTGAACTTCGATGCAGAGTGCCAGAGGACCAACCAGGTTCAAGAAGAAAATGAAGCGCTACGTCAGAAGGTTTGTTCCGAGCCGGCTTGGGAGCTGGGAAGCACTTCTGCTTTTGGGTAGCAGCGGAGATCTGGTTAAATATAGAAAAGGTGAACTGCTCTCAGATGAAAAGTGAGTCACCAAGCTTGGGGTTCTGGGGCTGTGCCAGCCCTGATAGCCAGAGGTGAGGTTAGTGTTGGAAATCAGGTGTGCTGCGCAAGCAGTATGGCAGCAAGACAAAACTTGCAAGAAAAGACAGTGTGCGTTTTGCAATTCTGCACACCTTGGCTCTTTTCGTCTTTTTCTTTTAAATTATGTCTGTGGTGTGTGCATGTGGGTGTAGGTGCTCCTGCAGGCCAGAAGGTGGTGCCAGGTCCCTTGGAGTGGGAGTTACAAACCTGTGATCCACCTGATGGGGGTACTCGGGTCCTCTGTAAGGTCGGCTCACTCTTAACTGCTGAGCCGTCTCTCCAGCCCCCATCTGTCAATTATCTTCCCAGTCTTTTTCCTTATGTAGCCACACATACACTGTTTATAAACCACATAAAACTGCTCTGGTTCAGCTACATTAGATAAAAGACAAGGCCCCTATGTTTGCCTTTGCACTTTGCCCAAGGAGTCTCCCCATCTTGAAATGAAGATCTGTGTGTGTCAGTGATATTTTTTGGAAAAAGGAAGCTTATAAGCTATTTGGGGGTTTAAGATTCTTGGATGCTGTGCCATTGTCTCCAGGCAAGGGCTAAAGATGCTGTAATACCATAGTGCATTAAAAACGTTTTTCTCTGCAAGTGTCAAAGGCCCAGTTTGCAGATCCCAAACATCAAAGCATGGTTTCCTCCCAGGGAGTTCAGGAAGAAACAAGTCACGTGATAAGAGGAAGTAAATCAAATGATATAAAGGAAAAAAACACAGTGTTTTTGGATGTCTAAGGGTGATTGGCTTTCTTAACTCCCAGAAGTCAGTTGTCAGCGTGACGCTTTCATTTTCCCTCTGTTTGATGAGCAGAAGTGCTTCTTACAGCTGGGTTTGGATGTGGCGTGTCTAGGAGGCTCCTCAGTAGAGGGAAGGTCACTGGCTAACTGGCCTTCGCCCCTCCACAGCTTTTTGCCTTGCAAGCTGAAATCCATCGGCTGAAGAAGGAGGAGCAACAGCAGGAGCAGGAAGAGGCCTTGGTCCAGCACAAGCTGCCCCCTTATGTCTCCAGCATGGACCGCCTTGGGGACTCGGAGCTGTGAGTGTGCTTGGGGGTGGAGGGTCGGAGCGGGGGGGCGGGTTGGGGGTGGAGGGGCTGCTGTCTCTGCTTTCTGTGGTCTGAACTTCACGCTGACTTCCTCACTGGTGGCCCCCTGAGTGTGCTGAGGGAGAATTGCCAGAGGCCTTTGGCACACCTACCTGGGTCCGAGTTGTGTAAGTAAAGTCCATATACTCTCTAAGGTTGTCCCGGGATGGGGAACCTCACATCTGTGATGGTGGAGTCCAGCGAAGCTGCTTCATAGGATGGAAGGACTGGTCACCACAGGTGGGGATGTTCCTCAGGAGAAGCTGCTGAGGCTGCAGAGAGGTCTGCAGTACGGGAGAGGAGTTACAGTGATGTTAAAAAAAAAAAAAAAAACAACAATCAGTTAAAGCAGAAGTCCTAGGAGACAGAAGAGAGGCAGTAACTGTGTAGCTGGACGTCAAGTGCTGATCAGAGAAGGTTTTCATTAGATGCATGGGAAAGTAAAAGGAGACATACAGAGTTCCTTTTAGTGGCGTGTACTATTCCAGTGCATAGTAAATGGCAATCAAACTCAACGAGCTCCCTACAGTTTTTCCATGCTAAGTCTTTGCCTCCCATCGTACCCCTCGCCCAACTCATCCCTGTTGGGATTAACACAGTCAGGTGCTCAGTAGCATGTGTGTCCAGCAGCCATCAGACAAGGCATTCCTGGGTCCCTCTACGAGCCACAGACTTGACTTTTGGACCAGATGAACTTCCGGTTCTTTGTTTGGGAAACGGTACCAAAGATCATGCCACCTTCAAGTCCAGGCCTCAGAACCTAGCCAAGGCCCTAGTCAACTAACCTTGGCCACGAGTTCTATGTTCTTGGACCCTCCTGGTTCCCCTCCAGCCCCTAACACTGTGGTGTGTTTACTTGGCCAGAGCCATGGTGTGCAGCCAGAGGACTGCCTCCCTCTCCCAGTCTCCTCGAGTGGGCTTCCTGTCCTCACTGCTGCCTCAGAGTAAGAAGAGCCCTTCAAGGTTGTCACCTGCCCAAGGCCCCCCTCAGGCTCAGAGCTCAGCCAAGAAAGACGCCCTCAGCAGCCAGGTAAGTGTGGGCCCTGCCTTTGTAGTGCTCGCCAGGACTCTTCCGCCGCCGCATTCCCAGGCCTTCATCCAGGACTTCTTGTCACACATGGACTTACGGGTCCCCTCTCAGGGCAAACTTGTGGGTGTGCTGTGAGAGCCCAAATTCATTTCTCATTTTCTTCTCCCTTCCCTGCATTTTTTTCTCCCGCTAACCTTTTAGACCAGCGATAGTCTTTGCATGACAAAAAGAGAAATAACACTGTAGAGGAGGAATTGAAGAGAAAACCCACCTGACGAACCTCTGGCGGCAGGGTCGGGCACGATTCAGAGATGGGGGCAGAGTGTGCGTGGACACGCCCGGGCCCTTGCTTCGGTCTCCCAGCCCTAAGTAGCTGCATCCACCGGCTCCCTGCACCTCTGTGAGGGCTTTCAGCCTGCCATTCTCCATTAAAGTGGCAGGTGGTGGCGGGAGCAGGTGTGGAAGGGACCCTTCCCTTTGCTGAGGTGTCCCGTGAACTCACCAGGGGTTTAGAGTGTTTACGTAGCTCGTGTGAAGTCTGACAGTTAGGGAAGTTCGAATTTTGAGCGATACAAACAAGTGTCTGGCCAAACAGGAAATCAAAGAGCCATCCTTCAGTCTGAGTCTTTCACTTAAATGGTGGTATTTTTGCTCATTCTGCAAAGGGTTTCTACCATCCTTCGCTTTAATGCTGTATGATAAGATGCCTCTGCTGCCCACTTGTGTCCCGAGCAGCCAAGAGTCCCACTGAGGGGTTTTCCTGGTGGAGTCTCCGAGTTCAGAGTCCACTGCCTTTGGAAATGCCCGGTAGAATGCCTGTGTAGCGTACCTGAGAGTTGTCTGCGAGTCTATTTTAGACCTCAATTCGTCTTTTTATGTGATTTTACTAGATATTGAGAGGGCAAATTGACACAGTCTATACCTTCCTCCTACACCTCCCTGGGTTTGAGTTGTAAATGGAGGAGCAGTTTAGGAGTCTGCTTGTGCTCAGCATGCTGGGAGTCTGCACCAGATGACCACAGGACTGTGTGTGAGTTAATAATATTGAGCTGGCCGCTGAGCAGGACCCTGGGGGACACAGCATGGGCTCTGGACTCAGGCAACTCGCTTTTTACTTCTGGCTCATTGTATAGCTCTCCCCAGTTTGCTTGGGATGGTTAGTAGTGCTGGTTCCTTAGGGGAAGAAGAGAGCCACAGAAGTGCCCTTGGTAGCAAGCAGTGCCCAGCAGATGCTAAACAGTAAATTTTGGTAGGAGCTGGGCTCCTGAAGGTCCTAGGAATCAGCTTTGAGATCTCAAGGACTGTCAATGTGACAGTTCCTGAGGGTGGAGACAGCTATAAATTAATCAGGCAATCAGGACTATCTCTGCAATTGCTTTTCTGAAAGTTCAAGTCTCTCAATTGGAACGTTGGGTCTTTTGGAATGCAACAGCACATGCTAGGCTGTTTGCTTCCTGGATCTCTCTCAGCCAGCAGCATTTTAGAAGCATGGTGGATGCTGGGTAGAGCGTTGAGTCTCTTGAAATCCAGCCTCACTTGGATTGAAAGCAAACACAACGCCTGCTTTGGATAAGCTTGTGGCCACGGTTTTGATAAGTTCAGTAATTATGGTCACGTAGTAAGTTTGAATGGCATGGTATATATTTTTTTGCACAGTTTACAGCCAAAGGAGCGGGTAAGAATGTGCAGTTTGTAGGGAAGCGTTTGTTAGCTTGCCTCTAAAACACTATCAAATGGAAGTTTGGTCACTGTTGTATGATTCACAGTTCACTTTCCAGATCCTTAATGGAGGTCACAGCTGTCTACAGTCTGAAAAAAAAATTGACCAAGCAATTTTCTTTCTATTACTATTTTAATTTTTGCAGAGCATGTGTACATGTGTGTGTGGGGGGGCTTATGTGTGTATATTGAGACATAGACTAACATCGAGTGGCTTTTCTCTGTCGCTCTTATTTTTTGAGCAGTGTCTCACCGAGCCTGGCGGTCACCATGGAGTTAGGGAACCAACCTCAGGCCCTCTGCCCACTGAACCATCTCCCAATGCCCTCATTTGTTGCTCTCAATTGGTGGTAGGTTGTTTAGGCTCAGCCCTTGTTTCAATTCTGAAAATAACTGGCAGGTTTGCGGTTCAAGTCAGTGGCAGGATTTTAGAGCTGGAAGTAGATTCCAGGGTCACCCCTCGCCCCCGTCCTATTGCACATCAGAGTAGAGCTTGACAGTAGCTCCTAGTACAAGCCCCTTAACTCAGCTTTGATGGCCTTCGCTTGTCCCCCAGGCTACTTGGTTAGAGCAGCCCCTTCTATTTCCCTGCTGAGCTTCTCTGTCTACCCCACTGTTTACTCCGTCCTGACTTGATAGCCCTCACGTTTGGGTCTCCTCCCTGGGGGCTGGGACGGACTTTCTAATGTCTCCGTCCTTGTCGTAACTGATGTTCAGATAGTGTTTAGATTTATCTCTCACCACTGTCAAATTGAGTATGTGTAGGGGCACTTCCTGTGTGTGACAGTGCGTCCCAGTGGACTCCACAGGCCCTGCTGCAGATACAGTATGTGTAGGGGCATTTCCTGTGTTGTGACGGTGCAGCCCTGTGGACTCTGCAGGCCCTGCTGCAGGCCTCTGAACTAGCTTGCTTGGCCAGTGCACGTTAGGTTCAGTCTTTTCTCACCACGGCAGTCCAAGAATTCTTTTTTCTTTTTTGCTATTAAAGGATGAGCGCACAGAAAGCATAAACAGTATCTTATTGTTAAACAAGCCACATATAAAATTATAAGGCTTTCCTACTTTAAATATTATTTACATATAGTGTTGTAAATTTTGTTCACAGCACTTTGCCTGCTTGTGATAGGTCATTGAAATTATGATCACGGTTGCTGGAGTGGTCGTAAAATTATTGTTATTGTTGCTATATTATTATTAGTGAGATGGAATCCCACACTGTAGCTCAGGCTGGCCCCAAACTTCGGTAATCCTTCTGCCTCAGCCTTCCAAGTGCTGTGATTACAGGGCAGAGCCATGACATGTGGCTTCACACCGTTGTGAACACACACCCTCCAGGCTTTTAGTCGAAATCTGCAGGTAGAAGTGAGGGGCTCACCATGAAACCACAGCTCCCAAAGTCTTTGGGGCTCTGTAACAGTGTCAACAGTAGCCAGCAGGCTGGGAATCTTCTCTGCTGCACCCTTCCCTTGAGGACTAATTCTGGGCCTTTCACACACACTGAGTGAGCCATGGAGGGCAGGCGGGGATTTCCTGAGTGTGGAGACCGCCCTTATGTGGCTGTCATGGAATGAGAGAGAGCAGCCAGCTGGCCTGGGCCTGTGTCCATGGATCCGGGTGCTTGAGAAAGGGTGCGTGTCTATGGTTTGTGTGTTATGAGACCCTGTCTTCTGGGTGACCTTGGTCTTCAGGTGAGACTGTTTCTCACCAAAGCTGAACAGCTCTCTGGGAAGAACTGTGTGACTTCGGAACCCTTCTGTTATCTACTGAGGCACTGACAAGCCGCGGTGTACCTGTCTCCAATAGGAGAAAATCACGAAAGACAGGCTACAGACACCTCTCCTGAACTGTTGGGAGCCAGGTAAATTATGAACACATAGAATTCAGACCACTGGACTGTTATGTGGATCCACTTGTTAGGATTTTGTTTTTTAAGATCTATTTTTATTTTATGTGTTTGCCAACATGTATGTATGTATGTGTAGCACATGCATGCTTAGTGCATGCAGAGGCCAGAAGAGGGTGTTGGGCTCCCTGGGATTGGAGTTACAGATGGTTGTGAGGCCCTCTGTGGGTGCTGGGAATTGAACCTGGGTCCTCTGTAAGAGCGGCCAGTGCTCTTAACCACTGAGCTTCTCTCCAGCCCCAGCCACTAGCTGGGATTTCTATGAGGTTTGTCCTTAAAACTTCCACTGAGCCGGGCGGTGGTGGCGCACGCCTTTAATCCCAGTACTCGGGAGGCAGAGGCAGGCGGATCTCTGTGAGTTCAAGGCCAGGCTGGACGGACAGCCTCCAAAACAATACAGAGAAACCCTGTCTCATAAAACCAAAAAAATAAAATAAAAATTTAAAAAAATAAAAAAATAAAACGTCCAGTGACTAGTTACGCCATGGAAAACATTTTTAAGGTTGCACACATGTGTGCCTAGACACACATTTGCCTGTTTACTAAAGTGCTTCGTGGACAGCTGCCTCCCACAGGTACCCGCCATATTGGTATCTCGTGCCCAATGCAGTTAGAGCTGACGGACACTGTCTCCCCTTCCTTGGCCACAGTCGAGAGGTCAAACTTAGGCCTGTGTTCTTCTGGTATCAATACTCTGTTGTTGAAAGGCCTCTCTGCTTATCCTATTGCATGTCCATTGTTAGTACCTGTTTGTATTTTCATTTTGGAAAATAGAAGTTTTGCGGCCCCGGTGTGGTAATATATTGGACAACCCCCCTGCCTTCCCGATTTGTGAGGGAAGGGTTTCCTTTCATTTCCCTTTTCTTTTCTTTTTAAAGATAAAATAATAATAAAAAAATAATGAGCATGGACACACACCATGGCTCATGTGTGGAAGTCAGAGGACAGTTTTCAGGGACCAGTTGTCCCCTTCCGCCATGGGTCTGGGGCTTTAACTCAGGTCATTGGACTTGTGTGACAAGTGTTTTTATGCTCGGGCCACCATCTTCTGGGTCTTCCTGCTGGGTGCTCTGCCTCAGCCGGAGAATGAGCAGCTCTGTACCACCTGTAAGTGGCCATCTGAACTGGGCACCCTCGACACCGCACATTGAAAGAGGAAAGGACTCTGCTTACTTCCTGGGCGGAGAGGAGACTTACAGTGCTGTCTCCCTCTGCCCACTTCCTGTCCCGAGGCAGGATACCCTATGGTCTATGGCTAACACAGATACAGCACGTGACAGGTAACCATGTAGAGATGTAATGTGCCTGCTGGGTGCCTGCCTTTTTGGTTCCTCTGGTTTCAGATCATTATCTGAAGAAGCACGTGACCACAGCAGACCTTGTCCCCAGCAGTGTCCCAACTTGACCAGACCTCATCCTCACACCACCTCCCCCAAGCCCGTTTTAGGAACAGATACTCTGACTCACTGGCACGTATCTTCCCAGACCTGTCCAAAGCTATTGGCACCTTTCTAATTCTCGGAATTAAGATGGGCCTTGTCTGAGCGGTATAACTTGACCATCCTTGCCCTGTAGGGTTCTAGCAGACCAGCGAGTGTCTTTCTTTCTGTCTGGAGGGGAACAGTCATGAGTGAAGTTGATTCCCCATGTATGAAGACAGGAGAGGAAAACCCACAGGAGACAAGCGCTTCTGCCTTATCTGTTATCAGGTGCATGTGTGTGCAGTCGTAGCCCATGATAGACCCTCCCCGCTTTGCTCTTCTGCTCCACACCAAGTCCTTAGCCTATTATCGTCAGGGTTTCTCACAGCCTGTGATTTAGCTTACCTAGTACTTTGTGTGTTGATGTTTGTACAGGTGCCTGTGTGTGCAGATGCCTGTGTGTGTGCAGGTGCCTGTGTGTGCAGGTGCAAATGTGTGTGCAGGTGCCTGTGTGTGCAGGTGCATGTGTGTACAGGTGCCTGTGTGTGCAGGTGCCTGTGTGTGCAGGTGTATGTGTGTATAGGTGCAAATGTGTGTGTGCAGATGCAAATGTGTGTATACAGTTGCATGTGTATACAGGTGCATGTGTGTGCAGATGCCTGTGTGTGCAGGTGCATGTGTGTGCAGGTGCATGTGTGTGCAGGCGCATGTGTGTGCAGGTGCCTGTGTGTGCAGGTGCATGTGTGTGCAGGTGCCTGTGTGTGCAGGTGCCTGTGTGTGCAGGTGCCTGTGTGTGCAGGTGCCTGTGTGTGCAGGTGCCTGTGTGTGCAGGTGCAAATGTGTGTGTACAGATGCAAATGTGTGTATACAGTTGCATGTGTATACAGGTGCATGTGTGTGCAGATGCCTGTGTGTGCAGGTGCATGTGTGTGCAGGTGCAAATGTGTGTGTACAGGTGCATGTGTGTGCAGGTGCATGTGTGTGCAGGTGCATGTGTATACAGGCGCATGTGTGTGCAGGTGCCTGTGTGTGCAGGTGCATGTGTGTGCAGGTGCCTGTGTGTGCAGGTGCCTGTGTGTGCAGGTGCATGTGTGTGCAGGTGCATGTGTGTGCAGGTGCATACATGGAGGCCAGAGGACAACTTTGGGTGTCATTCCTCAGGTACCACCCACCGCTCTTTGAGGCAGGGTCTCTCAACTGGCCTAGAACTCACTAAATCGTGGCTGGCCATCCATCCTCAGGGATCTCCTGTCCCTGCTGCCGCAGCCCTGGGCTTATGAGCACATACTTCCCTGCCAGGCTTTATTGTATTTTATTTTTGAAATGCGGGTTGTAGGGCTCCCCTCAGGTCCTCATGCCTCTGCAGCCCCTGTCCCCACACTGTCGCAATGGTTTGCTTTACTCTTTAGGACCTAGTGCACCACTGTAACAGTCTGCTGTCCCACACATGGGGACCTTTCCCTTTTGGATACGCTGAGATATTGTTCCCAGAGCCACAGCCTGTGTCTCACTGTGTGCTGAAATCCCCTTTTCTTCACTATCCTAGTGCAGTCGCTTTCTCTCCTAGACTTTTTGTCACATGAGCATAGCCAGCCATGTAAGTCCAGGATGAGCCCAGCATGGTGGATCTTTTCCCTCTTCCTTTACTGTCTGTTAAATGAAATTATCAGCAGAACAGTTCCCCAGGCGCTCTGCTTATACAGGTCAGGTATCTGTAGTCTAGGGATGTGGAATGCAAACTACCCAGGGTGGGGGTTTTGTTGGTGTTTGTGTTACTTGTCTTCCAGTACTGGGGGCCAAATCCAGGGCTGAGTGCATGACAGGCAAGCCTCTGCCACTAAATCCCCAGACCTCTAAAACTATTATAAACGATCATCTTTACGCTGTGTATATCAAAAGTATGCAAAACATAAGTGCATTTCATGTTTAGATGTGGGTCACATCCCTAGGATAGTTCATAACATGTCTGCAAATATTCTGAAGCCTGAAAAAAATGAAACCCAAAACACCCGTGGTCTTCAGCTTGGTGGATAAGGAGCACCCAACCCGTCATAGAACGAGGAGGGGCTGATGTCAGAACTGCCCTTGCAGACACTCACCGTTAGTTGTCAATAGCCAGGGCCTGGGCAGGCTGCCGGCCACTGTCAGATGAGGGTTATAGTATGAGGGAGGTCTGATGATTGAGTGAATGAAACTCTCAAAGGGGCTGAGTCCCCTGGTGGGCTGGGGCCATCATCTAGTGCGTACACAGTTCTTCCAGCATCTTCCTGCCCACACGGAGTCTCAGCGGGCGTTTTAGAATCTGTTTGAAGGTGTTCACTTTCACTGTGTTTGTTAGCCGCTTGTGTGTTAGCCTTTCTGTTCCTGCTCACTTCCTGCCTCACTGACCTGCTGAAATGGTAGCGTAAAGACCGCTTTCTTCCCTACAGTCTCCGTTTGGGTTTTACCAGTTTGTATTTCCCTCGGGAGTGGTTGAGAGTTCCTGGCTCTCCATAGTCTCACTAGCAGCATCTGGTGCCCAACCTTGGAGCCGTTGCCAGCATGATGTGTATAAAATGGACTCTTAGTCCATATTAAAAATTATTAAAACGCGCGCGCACGCTCGCGTGAGTGTGTGTGTGTGTGTGAGGGGGGGCAGACAGACAGACAGACAGACAGACATGTGCATGCATGTACTGCAGCGCAGAAGTGCAGTCGGGACAACCTTGGGGAGGGACTCCTTGCCCTCTGGTAGATTTGTGTGGTGAAGGTTGGCACTTGAGGTTACCACGCTGCCCCAGCACTCCCAGCTAACCACCATCTTCACCTCCCACTGCTTATGGAAAGGGGAGCGGTGTCTTGGGGAGGGCGGAGGGTACTAGATTCATGCTTTTGCCATAGACTTGGACCTTACCGCTCTTGCAATGAAAAAACAAGAGCCAGAAAAATGTCATTTGCCTCTTCTTTCTAATTTATCTTACACAGAGACCCTTGAGTTCCTGGATAAGTTCTCTTAAAAATGTCTGGTAGTTTAGTTGGTTTTTAAACCAATTGATTTAGTGGTTCTGGCCTATTTGTTTGTTTTATTTTGCTGCTCTTGAGATTGAACCCAAGGCTTATTGCTGCCTGCTAGGCAAGTGCTCTGCCACTGAGACCACCCACCCGTTTTATTATTTGTTCACAATAGGCAGCTTAGTCCTGTAGTTGGACCCAAACAACAGACAGTAGTGTATTTCTTTTTCACTGTAGAGGAGACTGGCTGGTGTGTGTGTGTGTGTGTGTATGTGTGTGTGTGTGTATTTAATATTGCCCAAATGTTGTTACATGCTACATATAAACACTTATCTTACCCATTGTGGAACCTGGCCTGCTAGTAAATACTGGATTCCTTGACTGTAACAAAAGTTGATGGTTGCTATTGGATGGAAAAGATTCTCCCTGCTTCTGTCTGGTAGGTGAGATTACACACTGAGGCCAGTGGGTGACCGGGCCAGGAGGAGCTCAGTCTGGAGGCCTGCCTGACTGGTTTGAACCTTCTGCCCAGGCCAGCCTCAGAGGGTCTTTCCCAAAAGTTGGTGGGGAGAGAATCTGTTCCCTGGCATTTGTTTCCTTCCTGGTCCAGAGTCTCTGCCTGCACAGCCTGGAAGAGACTTTTCACAGCCTGCTTCTCATCCTCTAGGCTACCAAGGGAAAGGACCCAGTGTCCGGAGCCAAGGAAGGGAAGAGCCTTGTGAGCGGGCCAGTGCCTGGGGAGGCCAGCTGGACACATCAGCGCCAACGACGTCTGCAGGACCATGGCAAGGAGAGGAGGGAGCTGCTCTCCTCCTCTTCCTCCTCCTCCCAGGTATAGGTGCCCAGGCTGCTGAGGGACCCTTTGGGTTTGCTCTGAGTTCTGCTGCCAGGCAGGGCTTGCTCCAGCCTGGTTAGTTATCACACTGGGGTTTGGGTTCTCTTTTGCCTGCTTTTAACCTCGTAGCATTTCCTCAAGTGGGGTCAGAAAGGTCTCTATGAGTTCTGAGGACCCCAGTACACCAGTCCTTCCCGTGGGTGACCTGTGTGAGGTAGCATGGGACTAGAGACTTGATCTCCTTAGAGTCTGGCACAGCATCCCTTTGCTCTGCTCCGCCGAGTCCCTGCTGAGTGGCTGTTGCACTGACAGCCATGCCCTTGCTTAGTAAGATGCTATAGCCGTATCTTCCCTGTGGAGAGCCCTAGAGACAGAGGTCTCTTGCTCTGAGAATGTGAGACAGCATCTGCTCTTGCTGCTAGTGAGAGCTGTTTCTGTCAAAAGTCCAAGTGACTCACCAGCTCACTCTCTTGTATTCTTTCTCCCAGTTGGGCCCTCTTGTTCATTGAAAGGATTGTGGGGAGGGACAGTTGGTACCACAGGGAGGCAAATGCTGGACTGCTGGGGAGGTTGTCAGGCCTCTCATACCTGGCCATTGGCCTTGGTTTCCTTATCAGGGGGAGATGCTGGCCAGCATAGGTGCACTGCCAAGACCCCTCAACAGATCTAGCTTCACACCCAAGTTCTCCCCTCTGCCAACTGGTACCCTAAGGCGCCTAGCTTCTGCCTCAGTCCAGTGTCCACAGCTGTAAGTAGAGTGGTAACATCATCTGGACACAAGCCAGGGATAAACTGTGAGTCACTCAGCACAGGGGCTAACCTCAGTCAACTCTCGTTAAACTCTGTTCCCCGCCTGTGCTGGCTCGTTTCATGTAAACTTGACACAAGCTATAGTCATATGAGGGGAGGGGACCTTGATTGAGTAATACCAGGCTAAAGCCTGTAGGACATTTTCTTAACTGGTGATTGATTTGGGAGGGCCTAGCCCATTGTGGGTGGCATCATCCCTGGGCTGGTGGTTCTCGGTTCTGTAAGAAAGCAGGCTGAACAAGCCATAGGGAGCAAACCTGTAAGCAGCTCCTTCCATAGCCTCTGAATCAGCTCCTGACTCCGGGTTCCTGTCCTGTCTGAGTTCTTATCCTGAATTCCTTTGATGATGAACGGTGAAGTTGGAAGTCAAATCCTCCTCAGCTTGCTTTGGTCATGGTGTTTAATCACGGTAATAGTGAACTTCAGGCAGAAACTTATACCAGGATAGTAGGGTATTGCTGTGACACACCTGACCATGTTATTTTGGGGAAGATTGTGGAAGAACTTGGAACTTTGGATGAGAAGATCCATCAAGTATTCAAAGCTTGGTGAGCTGTTCTGTGGGAGCTTGGAAGAAATGAATGCTGAGAGAAATGCAGACGAGGGAGGCCTGGCTTGTGAAGTTTCAGAAGGAAATTTGAAGTTACTTAAAGACTGTCAGGGCCATTGTATATTTGCTATTTTGAATTAAGAGTGTGTGTTTTGGTCAGTTGGGGCCAAGAGACCAGCACTATTGAACAGACACCTTTGCTCTACTGAGACAATTGATGCTGGCCAGCTGAGAAATTAGCTGTGATTAAGAAGAGACCAGCATCACTGAGGAAATCTTCTGGGAAATGTTCCCTGAGAGTCACCACCGGAAGCTGTGTTCCAGGGGCAGTCAAGGTTGTCCCTCGGGCTGGTAGCCAAACTTGGTAGTTAAGAGTCACCAGGTGGTGCTGGTTTTGAAGTCGTGCAGGGGTCATGGAGAGCTACTGAGGCTTGGCGCTGTGAGAGGCCAGGAGAGGCCACTGGTGAAGGTGCAGCCGCAGTAGCAGCCGGAGCCCTTTGGTTGAAGGGGTCACGAAGAGAAGTTGAGGCTTGGCGCCATGAAGAGAGCCCAGGAGAGGCTATTTTGTAGCAGAGACGCCAACAATTTGGAGATGCTAGTACCACGGGACAGCCACTAAGAATGGCAGCGGCGTGGAGTGGAGCCTACGAGAGCTTAGAAGACCAGCTGTGTGCTGCAGAGAACGGAGCCAGAGAAGCCGGTTGGAGGAGCCCAGAAGACCCTGAGTGGACCCCAGATGTTGGACATTGAGTTGTTTACACTGCTGGAGTTTGGTTTTGCTTTGTTCAGACTGTGACTACGTCCTGGTTCTCTCTTGAAGTGAGAAAGTATTTATTTATTTTTTTTATTTTATAGGAACTCACAGCTACCAGACTTTGAATTCTGGAGTTTTACAGCACTTTGGATTTTAAAAGAGACGAGATCTTTTTAGAGAGACAACTTCTAAAGTGTTTGAGTTTATGAAGTGTTTTATGTTATGATGTCTTTATTAATGTGAGATCTTGGGGATGAACAAGAAAGGAAAGGTTGTGGCCTAATAGTGATGTGTTTGTGTGTCTAGCTGACAAGGGGTCAGTTGTGCTGGTTAGTTTTGTGTGAACTTGACACAAGCTAGTCAGAGAGGAGAGAACCATGACTGAGAGAAACGCCTCCATAATGTCGGGCTGCAGGCAAGCCTGTAGGGCAGTGGTTCTCACCCTTCCTAATGCTGCAGCCATTTAACACAGTTCCTCTGTTGTGCTGACCCTCAACCGTAAAAGGATTTTATTGCTACTTGATAACCATCATTTTGCTACTGTTATGAATGATAATGTAAATACCTGATATGCAGGGTATCTGATATGTGACCCCTATGGGGGTCAAGACCCACAGGTTGGGATCCACTGCTGTAGGGCATTTTTCCTAATTAGTGATTGATGTGGGAGGGCCCAGCCCATTATGGGTGGTGCCATCCCTGGGCTGCTGGTCCTGGATTCTATAAGAAAGCAGGCTGAGCAAGCCATGGGAAGCAAGCCAGGAAGCAGCACCCCTCCATGACCTCTGCATCCTCTCCTGCCTCCAGGTCCCTGGCCTGCTTGAGTTCCTGTCCTGACTTCTATTGACTTTGAAAAGTGATGTAGAAGCATAAGCCAAATAAACACTTTGCTCCTCAGCTTGCTTTGGCTATGGTGTTTCATCACTCGATAGTAACCCCGACTGAGACACTAACCTCTGTCTGGCCTGCACCAAGACAAGATGCAGTCATGCTGATTCCCTTCAGAGAGGTCAAGGTCCCCAACCAGGGCCTGTGAGACGATCGCAGTTCCCAGGAAGCGGGTGCCCTGTTCTCCCAGGGGAGCTGGTGTGTAGCTCTCGAAGCTCAGAGCTGACCTCACGTGGCGGTCACCACCCATAGTCATCTAGTGTGTTTGTGTGGTGAAGGAGACCCTTGGTAAACTGACATGTCCCTGCTTTGCTGGCCACAGAGCACAGAGAAGAAGCCGGAAGGCAGTGGCCCAGAAGCTGAGCCCTGCCTGGAACTCCACACGGGGCCAGCAGAGCCACTGGCCCGGGTGTCCACAGCGGGCTCTGAGGGAGGCCGCCCTGAGCAGCCCTTCATTGTGCTGAGCCAGGAGGAGTATGGGGAGCACCATTCATCCATCATGCACTGCAGGTGGGCCCAGGAGTGGGGGACTGGGCTTCTAGGCAGTGTGTGGGAATGCTCGTGGCAGGAAGTGCCCCTGACAGGGTCAGTAGCGTCCCGCTGGACAGACGCCACTGTTGTAGTGGTCTCCCTCAGACCACTCAGTTTTCTTTGCTTTGTGTTAGTGTGTGTGTGGCGATTTTGACCGACCGTGTGTAAGTATGCATTTAAACACAGTGAAAGCATGGGCCTTGAGGAACAACCCTCAAGGCATAGGCAGCTGCATGTTTTGACAACCCTGACCTGTGCTTGGCCCTTGGGTTGACCTGGAGCCTAATGGGGGAAGCTCCAATCTCAGATGGCAGGTGCCCTGGGGGCACGCTCTGAGACCCAGTCCACCTCACGTGTTCCCTGCACAGCCATGCATGGCACAGTGTGCATTGGTATCCTGTCTGCTTGCTTACTTATGTATTTCTTGCCGTGCCGATGTGTGCTTGTGTGTGTAAATGCACGCATGCGTATAGAGGTCAAAGGACAGCTCTTGGGAATTGGTTCTTCCACGCTTTTGGGTTCAGGAATCTAAGTCAGTTCACCAGGCTTATGCAATAAAGATCTTTACTTGCTTCTGTCAGAAAGGGAGGCCATGTTCCTGATGCCCTGTAGTGTTTCCTGGATGGATGGATGGATGGATGGATGGATGGATGGATGGATGGATGTTTCTGGAGTGGTTTACACCCATCCTTTGAGTGCAGGCCTTGAGCATTAGTTTTTAATGCAATTGGAAAGTTGGGAAAGTGACGGTATTGTTGGTGGCCTTAGAGGCCAGGACGCTAACACCTCCCTTTGTCCCATCACAGAGTCGACTGCTCTGGTAGGAGAGTTGCCAGCTTAGACGTCGATGGGGTCATCAAAGTGTGGTCCATCAACTCCATCATGCAGACCAAAGCGTCCTCCATTTCTAAGTCACCACTGCTCTCTCTAGAGTGGGCCACCAAGCGAGACAGGCTGGTAAGTGGCCCTTTGCATGCAGAACTTGTTCACAAGTTCTGTCTTGGAGGCTCTAGACAGGCCAAGCTGAGGAGGTAAACTGAATCTCCTCCTTGGGGAGTTGTGGGGCCAGAAGCATACATCTAGGATCCTGCTTGGGATGGCCATGCGGTTATTCCTGGAGACTATGGAAGACTTGACCTTGTCTGCCAGTCTGTGTCAGGAGGCCCCTGCTCCCCCATCCCCCATGTTTCTGATACATTGTTAGTGCACCCTCTCCTCTCGATAAGGCACAAAGAGAAGTAGCTTATGTCGGTGACGGGACAGTGTTCTAGTTTGTGGTTCCCACAGGCCCAGTCTCCCCAGGACTGGCACAGTGTTCATTTTCCCAATGGACTTTCTATGTGAGCCAGGGTTGGCAGTTAAATTAAACTTGATTGCTTGCAGCCCAAGAGACAGACACTGATTTTTTTCCAGATGTCTAGAAAACATAGGAAGGAAATGCCCTTGTAGGTTGCCTGTCTCAGGACTGTCCCTGAACTGGTGTTAGCTGGCTAAGTGGGTGCAGAAGCTATTGCCTAGCTAATATTCTGGGGGACACCCCAGACCTTGGATGCTCTGGCATTAATTTCTGTTACTGTCTTCTAAGCTCTCACCCAAATGAGGTCCCAGAGGCAGCGACCACTATGTATTCTGGTGTCCTTGATGGAAGCAGGGCCAGAGCTGTCCTGCAAATAGAACAGTCATTGCTGCCCAAGACTGGCCAGGGCCAGACCCACGGATGTGTAGAAAAAGTAGGAGTGAGAAGAAAGGGTTGGAACAACTGGGATTTAAAGCTGAAAGGAAGGAGAGAAGGGTTAAAGGGTCTCAGGTAACCATCTAGAATATTTCTGAGTGTTCTCCCCTTCCACAGACACTGTGGAAGTCTGCTTTCTATCGCTATAACAACATACTTGAGGCTGGATATTTTATGAAGAAAAGCAGTTTATCTAGCCCACAATTCTATAGGTTCAACAACACGTTCCAGCATCTGTTTAATTCTGGTGAAGGCTTCCTTGGTAGCAGCACCTGCGTCATGATTGGAGCTTGTGCCAAGTGGAAAGATCCCATGACAAGACAGGAAGCCAGAAAGGGAGTTAGGGCAAAGCTTGCTTTACAACATCTCTAAAGAGAGAACAGATTCACTTTATTATTTATTCACATCATTAATCTCGCCTGAGAGCAATGCCCGAGTGGTCTAATCACCTTCTACTTAGTCCCAACCCTTCAATGTCCTATCCCAAGCTGCCAGGACACTCAGACCAGATTTAGATCAAAGAAGATGGCCTGTGGTTTTGCATCTATTCAAGGTTGGCTTTGATGTCTTCGTGACATTCTTTTTTTTTTTAAAGCATATTTAATCAAGTAGGTGGTGATGGTGCACACCTTTAATCTCAGTACTCTAGAGGCAGAGGCAGGCAGAGCTCTGGGGTTCGAGACCAGCCTGGTCTACAGAGCGAGTTCCAGGATACCCAGGGCTGTTACACAGAGAAACCCTGTCTCAAAATCCAAAAACCAAAGTAAAATCTTTATTTTATATTTTGTCTGCATGTATGTCGATGTACTACGTATGTGTCTGGTGCCCAAGGAGGCAGAAGAGGGCATCAGATCCCCCGGGACTGCAGTTTAGATGGTTGTGAGATGCTGGCTAGGTGTTGGGAATGGAAACTGGTCCTCTGGAAGAGAAGCTAGTTTTCTTAACCCATGGACCATCTCTCCAGCCCCTCTTCATGGCATTTTAAGTGAGGTCCATTGTAGCCAGAGCTTCTCTGACTGCCTGGATAAGTGCGTAAGGAACTCACCCTAGCAGCCTGCCCAGCTCCACACCATAGGGGAGTGGGCCTGGTCTGTCACTCTGGTGGCCCTCCCTGGTCCCTGTGCTATCCTCCTCAGCCTCCTGTCTCTCCTCATTCCAGCTCCTCCTGGGCAGTGGTGTGGGGACGGTTCGTCTTTATGACACCGAGGCCAAGAAGAACCTCTGTGAAATCAACATCAATGATGAAATGCCCAGGTGAGCAGGAGCCTCCCCACGCACTGGAACTCAGACCTCCTGGAGTGGGATTCACCTCAGAGCTGCGGTGGCGACCTTCTGACTCCAGTCTGTGTGTGTTGCAGAATCCTGTCTCTTGCCTGCAGCCCCAACGGGGCCTCTTTCGTCTGTTCAGCCGCAGCTCCGAGCCTCACCTCTCAGGCGGACTCCTTGGCCCCGGATATTGGCAGCAAAGGCATGAACCAGGTTCCCGGCAAGCTGCTGCTATGGGACACAAAAACCATGAAGCAGCAGGTACAGGACCTGCCTGTGGGTCTCCTGGGGCTGGGGACGCTGCCTGCAGGGCACACGGCCCACACTCCATGTGTTTCTGATGCGGGTCTTCGTCCTTTAATGTTTTCACCTGAGGATTTTGATTTGCGAGAACATTTTCAGGTTTTAAGTGCTGAAAGGATCATGCCCCCGTTGGGCAGATTATGAGCAATAGAGTTGTGCCATGACTTAGGTTACCCAGAACCCACCCACAGGCTGGCTAGTTTATATTTCGGGAGACGCTGCGTGGGAATCACAGGGACAGCCGGAAGTACTAAGGGTGGGGTGACAGCTGGCAGGGAGACTAGTGCATGGCCCACCTCCCTGGAGCCGAGGATCTGCTTTCTCAGAATATAGTGCTTACGGCAGGTAGTGCAGCCCTGGAGGGAATGTTACTTCACCTACTTAGAGCAGTGGTGCTCCCGGAAGCGACTCATTTCAATGCTTGGCAGGAGCGCAGGTTACAGTGCCTACCTTGTCCCTGGGGCTCTCAGGACTCAAGGGTCCCTGGCCAAGAGGGAGCGATTTCTAGATGTGTGGGCTCTACCCTCGAGCTTCTGCTTGCAGAAACGGGCTGTGTGCCCACTGGGGACATCTCGCAGGCCTCTCAAGCCTATAGAACGCCCTGGATTCTCGACTTCCACTTCCTGATGCCCCACTTAGACGTTAGGTGTTTTCCCCAGAGCCCCCACCCCCTCAGCTCACACAGTCAATGCCACCTTCAAAGTGTACTTCCTGGCTGACCATTTTCCCTACTCTCTAGGGACGTGTCCTAAACCTGCCCGTAGTACCCCTGGTGGGACAGCCGCAGGGCCTCTGGGGGGTTCTGCTACTGTCCTCCACACACAGTTTAGGCCTGCGTCTTCTGTGTTGGCATTCTAGGATCCTCCTCCAAAGTTCTCGGTGTAATTCGTAACCCTTAAGTCTACTCAGGGATTTCAGGTTTTACCGTGAACATTGAATACTTAGGAAAGAATGTAGGGAAACAAGAAAAGCGATGGAATGGGCTCCTCATTTAGAAGAGCACATCACTAGTACTTCTTTTAATTAATTAAAACATTGAATTGTGTGTCTGTGTGTGTGTGTGTGTGTGAGAGAGAGAGAGACAGAGAGACAGAGAGAGAGACAGAGAGAAAGAGAGCAAGTGCAAGTGTGAGCATACTTGTGTAGAAACCAAAAGACAACCTATGGGAGTTGGTTTTCTTGCACCTTGTGGGTCCCAGTGATTGAACTCAGGTCATCAGGCTTGGTGGCAAGCACCTTTACCCACTGAGCCCTCTCGTTGACCCCATCAGTCCTTGTGCTCGTCGGCCCTTCTGGTCTCTGTCTCCTTTCCCCTTTCACGGAGATCCTGTCTGAGTTTTGAGTTGCTGTCTCCTTGCAGTTTAACAGGTGCCTTAGCACACAGGTAGATCACACGCACATCATAGTTGCGGCTTCAGGGGCTTGCAGGGTTAATGTGTGTGGAGTCACAGGTACGTGTTTTTCTAGAGTTCTGTATTCTAGTTGGAAATGGGTCCACCCCCTAACTGTCTGTCCTGTCTTCTCTTCTGGCCGCCTGTGCTGAAACAAAGAAGTTGGCTCTCAATACAGCTCACCCTCCTCTGTCTTTGGCTATTTTAAGATCGGGTCTGGGTGTCTCAGTGTGGATATTCTAAGCTTAAAAAAACAAAACAAACCAACAGAACAAAAACTGACTAGGTGTGGTGGTGCACATCTGTATATTTAGCCCTTAGGAGGTAGAGGCAGGTGGGTCAGGAGTTCAGGGTTAGTCTCCAGTGCTCGAGACCCTGCCTCAATAAATAAATGAAATTAAAATTGCAGCTTTGGATTTGTTCCCTTTCCTGCATGAGAGGATGCGTGTCTTTGTCTAGTTCTGGAAAATTCTTAGTCATGTTCTTTCCAGTGTTAACATTCCTTCTGGCTCTCTCTTGCCTTCTGAAACAGCAATCTGATGTTTTTTTAGTTTTTTTAGACAGCAACTCTTCTTTTGTTTGTCTTCATGAGATCACTGCATCAGTTTTAACAGAGACGGGCCCCCCCCTACTGTCCCCGGTCTTCAAATGGGCCTGTGGGGACATTGGTCCTGTCTCTCATTTCCAGGGGTGCGGCACCATCCTTCCACACGGTGTGGTCATGCTGCCGTCTCCTCTTCTGCCGACGCTCTGGCATTCTGTTAAACATACCAAAAGTTCTGCAGTCTTCTGGTGATCCCATCCCTGCCGTTTCCTTAGATGCCTGCTTCTCTCCCCCTACCTTCCCGTGTCCTGTGTCCTGTGAATTTCTACTTCCGGTTCCCGTCTCTGGCCTGTTATCCTTGTCCAGACACTGACGCTTGCTGTAGGGAGGTGCGTTTCTCTGGAAAAGATTTGCCTTCACTTCTGCCAGGTGACAGGGGCTCCAGCAACAACTGAACACTTTGAGATCCAGTCTTAGACTACAAAGGGGTTGTGAGCTTGTTTGTGACCCACAGCAGCCTGTGGTTCTGCTGGGCGGAGAGGTGCACTTTCTTAGCACTTTCTGAGAAGTTCTAGTTCATCCTTTCACAGAGGATGTCTCTCTTTGGAGTCTCAGCAGCATGTGGAAAGTTTTCGACACCGGGCATGGCCAGGCCGTTCACTGTGGGCTCCAGGCTTCTGATGTGCCCTCCTTCCTGTTGGGGTCTCTAGTCCTCGAGGCTCTTGCCCTCCCGTGTCTTTGGTCTTGAGGACACCTTTGTTTGCAGCCCAGTGCTGTGCCTGTGTGTGAGTGACATCATCTAACACGGTCTTGCAGTTTTAGTCCCAGCAGGCTTCCGTGCCGTTGGAAATGGTGTTCCTCGTTATTATTATCAGATTAGTAGGCCTTATTTACATCTTCTGAGGTGACTTTGTGAGGTCCTGTGGAGATGCTGGGATCCATAGGAAGGGGCTGGAACAGCTTTGGGATGTGTGTGTCCTCTGTCACTCAGGGCTGCCTGTAGTGGAAGGCAGTTGACAGATTTGTTAGTTCCTGATGGCCACAGGCATGCTCAGTAGGACCAAGCTTGGAGTCCGCATGAGGAAGGAACCCATGAGCCGCTGAGATACGGGTTACTTGCAACTGCCCTGGCCTGGATTATTGCCTCTCGAAGTCAGTCGGCCGGTGTGCTCTCGCTGAGTGAGACTCATGTCATCGGCTCCAGAAAGGACCGTGGAGGGGGATCGAGCGGGATGTCTGCGTTGGACCGTATGCTAATGGTGCACCTGTTCGTATTCACAGCTTCAGTTCTCACTGGACCCGGAGCCCATCGCCATCAACTGCACAGCTTTCAACCACAACGGGAACCTGCTGGTCACAGGGGCAGCTGATGGTGTCATCCGGCTCTTTGGTACGTAAGTTATGCTGTGGCAACCCTGGTCCTCTCCTTAAATAACCCAGCGGGAGCTGAGGCCGTCACACAAGCCCAGTTCCCGGTGCATGTTCTATTGCTTGACTTTGCTGTGTTCTCGAAACTTCCACCACAGCCAACGTGTCTGTGCTTACTGTCTGTAGACAGGGGAGGGGACAGAGCTCAGTAGTCCTTTGACCTCAAGCTTGACTGACCTGAGTCCTTGTCACCTGTGTGGAATTCAGGAAGTCACAGAAGAAAAGTGCCATCCTATTCAATTGCTGTAAGGTAGCTTGTCCTCTGTCCCCAGGTAGACAGGCCTAGGTTCTAGAATAGGATAAGGTGACCCCTATGTAACAGATCCCCAGGCGTCCTGGGGACAATTATAGAGGTCTAGTAGGAAGGATGCCTTTGTCTTCCCAGACTTACAGGATCCCCCGAGTGAGCTCTAGCTGTCCCCAAGGACCCTGAGTCCTCCCCTTGGCCCAGTCAAGAGGCTGCTCAGAGGCAGGTAGGCTTGGCAGGGCCAGCACTTTCTGGTCTGGGAGGTCCCCCGTCCTCAAGAGTAGCTGTCACCAAGGAGGGTGGGGACCCCTGCTGTGCGTGGAGCCTTTCCAGGTGTGGTCTGGACCTGAGTGGTGTCCTGCTCCCCCAGACATGCAGCAGCATGAGTGTGCCATGAGCTGGAGGGCCCACTCCGGAGAGGTCTACTCCGTGGAATTCAGCTGTGATGAGAATGCCGTGTACAGCATCGGTGAGGACGGCAAGGTAGGCACTTGGTGGTGGCCAGACCATCCGCAAGCTCTGTGGCCTAGGGCTTCATTCCACCTCCGCTCGTCTTCTTCGAGATAGGGATACCTGGAAGTCTGTCACCAAGTCTCTGTGGGGTTCAGTGAGTTCAGGGCGACTTGGCTATGGGAGTTCCGTATCCGTTTTCCTGGTTGCGGCAAAACCATAGATGGAACCATGGGAAGGGGAACATATTCTTTGGTGAGTTGTGGTCATGGTCACCAGACAATGCTGGAGTCAGCATACTGTTGGGAAACAGGTCTGAGAAAAGTCCAAAGAAGTAAAAGGAAGCCCGTGTCTCCTAAGAGAGTATAAGACAATGCCCTTTGTAGATTTCCTCTGTAGAAGGTATATTATGAAGTAGGAATGACAATGGCCTTGGGCAGAAGGTGAGGGTAGGCAGAGGCAGAAGAAAGACTTAGCTGTCTCACGCATCCTCCTGAATCTGTGGGATATTATACTGTTCGTGTTCCCCACTGAAGACAGTGACCACAAAACAAATTCTATTTATTTATTTATTTGTTAGATCATATCTTTCTCTATAGCCCAAGGCTGGGCTAAAACTTGGCAATCCTGCCTCAGCCTCCTAAATACTTGTATAACAGATGTGAGCCACCTAACTACATTGATTTTATTTATATACTTACTTAAGTTATTTTGAGACCACATCCAGGTTGGCTTCAACTTCCTGGGCTCCAAGATGCTGCTTCCTCAGTCTCTCTTAGGGACGGGATTACAAATGTATATATACCACAGTGTCCTGTTTCGATTCTTCCTTTGAAAAGTCCACGTAGGGCTTTTAAGTTAAAGTTTGACATCCTGTTGTGTTGGTAGACTCCCGGGGAAGCCAAGTAGCCGGTTCACGGTGTAGGCTGTTAATTATCCACATCACAAGTGAAACCGAGAACACCCCACTCGGCATGTGATTGTACTGCTGAGAAACTGAAAATGGGTTTGGAATCTGCCCATCTGTCCTCTATACTTTGTTCCAAGGTCCAGAGAATCTAGGCATCCCCACCCCAACCCTACCCAAGAGACCAAAAGGCCCTGCAAAGCTGGTGACTGTCCCTTGTCCTCTCTTGAACTTAGACCAGAGGAAGGAGGAAGTCAGAGCTTTGATGTGAAGTTGTTCAGTGTTTCCTAGATTTTTTTTTCTGCCTGAAAAAGTTTGTATTGGTGAGAGGAGGGACCGAGGGGGCAGTCTGTGGTCACCATAGCCTTGTGCTGCTTCCTGCCCGTAAAAGACGGGCAAGGGAGGCAGTGGCCCTAGGCAGTCACTGACACGGGGAGCCCTGGCTCTGCCTCCCAGGCCAAGGTGGGGAGCGCCCAGCAATCCCGGGTCGTGGCCTCTGTGCGGATGTCTGAGGGAGCCCCTGTGTCTGCAGTTCATCCAGTGGAACATCCACAAGAGTGGCCTCAAGGTGTCTGAACACAGCCTGCCCTCAGACGCCACTGGTCCCTTCGTCCTGTCTGGCTACAGTGGCTATAAGCAGGTTCAAGTTCCCAGGGGCCGGCTCTTCGCTTTCGACTCAGAGGGCAACTACATGCTGACGTGCTCTGCCACGGGGGGCATCATCTACAAGGTAACGGGGCGGCAGAGTCCTGCTGGGCAGGGGTTTCTCCCTGGGGGACAGCCTGTCTGATCTGAGCTGAGTGTGTCCTGTGTCCTGAGTCCTGCATAGCTGAGTGTGCCCTGTGTCCTGAGTCCTGCATAGCTGAGTGTGACCCTGTGTCCTGTGTCCTGCATAGCTGAGTGTGACCCTGTGTCCTGTGCACTGCATAGCTGAGTATGACCCCATGTCCTGTGTCCTGCATAGCTGAGTGTGACCCTGTGTCCTGTGTACCATGCACTGCATAGCTGAGTGTGACCCTGTGTCCTGCATCTGATAAGATTCTGGCCTTTTCTTGTCTATTCTTTGGGAATAATACATACTAAGGAAGACATTAAATAGGGTTAGGGCTTGGGAATTTGGGCAGGGAAATGTACCTCATGGGTCTGAGCTAGGTAGATTGCTTTCATCACTGATCTAGAATAGGTTATTTTATGGGAGGCCTGTTGGTCAAATATACCAAAGTCCACATACAGGACAGAAGTTTGAGGGTGTCCTTTGTGAAGCTAGGATGCAAGTTGTCTACATGGTTTTTATTTTTAAAGATTTATTTTATCTTTATTTACATGTATGTATTTATGCACGTGTGTGCTACCAAGAAGAAAGTGTTGGATGCTGTGGAATTAGACTTATAGGTGGTTATGAACAACCCTACACAGTTCTAAGAGTTGGACGCACCCAGTCCTCACCAAGAGCAACAGGCGCTGTTAGCCACTGAGCTGTCAATGTTTTTGTCTTCTTGAAAACTTGATTGCAGAAGGCCTTCCTGTACCAGGCCCCATTTGGGGTGATGCAGCTGGTCAGGTCCTGCCCTCCCAAAGTTTGCATGCCCACAGTGAGAAGGGTGCCTCAAATGAGTGAGTCGGTACACAGTGCAGAGTCAACCAGGGACTGACGGGTGAGGCTGTACCAGGAGAGTGCCGTGGAAACAGACAGGCGAGGTGTGGAGTGCCAGCCCGTAGCTAGGTTAAGGCAGCAGAGGAAACAGCACCTCAGGGACTTGATGTCCACATGAGGTGGACTGACCACTTCAGGAAAGTGAAAGCATCACAAACAGGCTTTCCAGAAAGGTAGGGGCATGGGCCGCGCCACATTCTTAGATTGGGGTGGCCACTCCAGGCTCAAGGTAGTTTTTGGACACTGATACTGAATGGAAGTGTATGTTTGTGTGCGCCTGTGTGTGTGCGTCTGCTGATGTTTCCCTTCACTCCTGTGCTTTTGCAGCTGGGCGGCGATGAAAAAGTTCTAGAGAGCTGCTTGAGTCTGGGTGGCCACCGGGCCCCCGTGGTCACTGTGGACTGGAGCACTGCCATGGACTGTGGGACGTGCCTAACAGCCTCCATGGATGGCAAGATCAAGCTGACCACCCTCCTGGCCCATAAGCTCTGATGTCCTGCCTGCAGTGACACATGGCAAACAGAATCGTCCCCGGTAGGATAGAGACGAGACAGGACAGCGTTTCCCTCTGGCTCTGCACTGTCAGGGCCGTGGGTCTTCAGGGCAAGACTGCCGAGCCGGCTCAGCCATGCAGCTGCAGCTACTGGAGTAGGAGCCTCTGGACGGGATGCGTGTACTTCCTAGACCACGTGGTGGCCGGAGAGGGCATGCTACAGAGCACAGGATGAACGAGGACCGAGCCTTAGTGGTGCAGGGCGTGTTCATGGTCGAGGAACTGACAGTATTTTGTACATAATTGCTTCTTTTTCTTTTTTAAAGGAAAAAAAAACACGAGAGAGAAACAATGCTCTTGCAGTCACTTGGTGTCCCTTTCTAGAATGTCTGAGTCACCTGGCCCTGGCAATAGCCGTGGTTTCCTGCCTTGGTTCTCAAACCTCACTCGTCACCATCTCTCTGCCATGCTGCTGGCGGGACCCCACGAGGTTGCCTGTGGCTTTGTCTGAGTTGAGATCTGGACCACAGTGCCATCTCTGGGCTCAAGCCAAGATGGGCGTGTCTTCCGCCAGACAACAGTGGGGTCTGAGGTCTGGGCCTCTAGCTGCCCTCTTCCTTAGGGTCTTCTGTTCCCAGCACTCTCATTTGGTGGCTCTCATTCTTCCAGCTTGAAATCTCTGAGCTTGAATAATGCCAGCTGCCTGCACCCTCAGCCTGGCTTCGCCGAGCCTGGGCCAGCTATGGCTGTACACCTGCTCTCTGTTCCCTCATTTGGGAGGACCTTGTAGAGACAGGTTCTTCACAATGGGGAGAAACAAAAGTCCCCTCCAGTCAGTCCTACATCCTACCGCTGAGGCCAGCCTCATGAAGAAGCCACACAGAGTCAGTAAGCCTGGGCCTGGGCCCCCAACACTTGGCAGGGGTGACCCTGTTACCTACCTAGGGAATGCCGCTTCCATGAACAGTGACTGCTTGGAACAGTCATTTGATAGCTTCTTTGGGCTCCAGGCTAGTTGTGGGCTGTAGGGCTGGAGTCGGGTAACCCCAGGTACCTACGTTGGGAGAAGCAGCGGTGTACTGTGGCCTCGGCTCCCTTCTGGGGATCCTTCGCCTTCCTAAATAAGGCTCCCTCCTCTGCTGTCTTGGGTGAGGCTGACGTGAGGCCCAACCATGAAGGCAGGCTCCACCACAGACTACGAGCCACTCTTCCAGAGGCGGAGAACCTGGCCTGGCTTATGTGAAAAGCCCCACAGGTGCAAATCCGTAGTTCCCTCCTTGTGCTCAGGGACCGATCTCTGCTCAGCCCCAAGCCCAGACCCCATGGTGTTCAAATGCCCAGGAGTTGGACTTGAGGTCTGAAAGTACAGTAATAAATACATTGTGGGCCGACTAAATGAAGCTAACTGGCATTTGTTACTATATCCAATAGCCACATTCAGTTCTGTCATTTAAAAAATAATAAAAACCCATGTTGACACCAGCACAGGTTCCTTACTCCTTCCTGCAACATGCCCTTTCCATCCAGCCCATTAGACATGGTTGCCCCACATCCTGTGAGGTTGAAGACTACAGGCAAGTGAATGTTACTTTCATGACAGCCAGGGGCTGCCCTCCCAGACAGCCTCGAGTCTAGCCCAGTTCAAGAGCAACTGGGCGGACCCTAGCTCTACCTGGGGGGTTGGAAGCCATTGGTTTATGCCACTAAGAGTTGGGGCTTTCATTTCCTGGCCCAGGCTGTTGGTTAAGGATTGAGGATTAGCATTCAAGAAGGCTCCGCAGAGATGTCGTGGGTGCTCCAATCCGGAGTTGCCTTCGACAGAAACTGCTGTGTAACTGGCTGACCTGCTATAAATGGAATATAGTGACCTGCTGTAAATCGAATATAGTCGCTCTTCGTTTGGGGCAAACAGAATCTGAACTTCCGTTTACTTCAGCGTGCCAGGTTGCTCCCATGACGGCTGCTCCCGTGTTTTCAGCCGTTGTCTCCCAGGACTTCTCTCCTGGTCACCCCAGGTTGCCCTACATCTTGAGCGAGTTTAGCTGGGGAACCCGGGCAGCTGGGGCGCCCTTCTGCAAGAGGGCACCCTGGGCTGCCAACCTGCATGTTGAACCTAGTAAACGGGAGTTTGGTTTCTCTGAACTGTCGTCTCCTGGGTCGTGTTGAACTTGGTTCCCTCCTGGGGATCCTCTGGCAGGACTGTCAAAAGCAGAACCCCTTTCCTTCCCCAGTTTCCAGCTCCGGGCACTGACTTTCTAAGAGCCAGCAGCGGCCGCTCAGCCACAGCCCTGGACAGAACCCGGGGCCCGGGGCTGCGCCTTGCGGTCTGTAGGGGGCACCCGGGAGCCTCCGTGCCAGCCCGAGGCGGGCCGGGAGCGCGCGGGGGTCGGGGGCGCGCGAGGGCCGGAAGGGACGGGCTGTGGGATGCGCCGTGCTTGCGTGCGTGCGCCGCCGTTCGGAATCCCTTCCCGGAACCGGCCGAGAGCGTGGCCGCGGCGCCCTGCGTGCTCCCCGCCTGTCCCGTCCCCGGGTCCCCGCTCTGCGCCCTCTGCGGGTGAGAGGGAAGGAGGGAGCCCCGGGCCAGCTCCCGGCTAGCGCAGCGAGGCCCCGCGAGTGGCTTCGGGGTGAGATTGTCCAGGGACGCCCCCGGGCCCGACCCCAACAGCTCTGAGCCCCAGAAAGCACGCGGTCGGCAGGACCTGGCGGCCGCCGGCTCGGTGCTTGACGCCCAGCTGTCTGCGACTTTGCGCGCGTAAACTGTGCCTCTGCGCCGGTTTCCCGTCTGTAAAGTGGGCGCGCAACGATACGCGCACGGCCGCATCGAGTACGTTTCTGCGTGCGTCGCGGGATGGCATCCCTCTTACCCACTCCCGATCTGTGACTGGACGGGTTGGGACGATGCCCTTGCTAGGGTTTCATATTCGCTTCTTTTTTGTTTGTTCGTGTCAATGAGGTTGTAAACGGCCACCCTGGATGAGCCCAAATCATACATCCTGGTATATGCTGGAGTGGGGGTGAGGGTGGGGGCCCTGGTTAATGAAGCCTGTGGAGGAGGGGGAGGAGGAGGAGGAGGAGGCCTCTGGGCTCTAGCAACCCAATCACTGCAGAGGTGAGAAATCTATCCTCACGGACTATTGTTTGGGGTGCAATGGAAAGGGAGATCGGCGTTGCTGCCTGCCCTCTTCCCAGGGTGCAGAGGTGGCAGGAAATCGCTTCTTGCTGCCCCAGCTGCTTAGGTGGGGCACAGAGCAATGGAGTGGTCGCAGAACTTTGTGCGCAGGCCCCCTGGTCCTACCTGCTGCTGTCCCTCCGTTTGACGCACTACACATGGCTTGTGGGCTCTGCTGGCCTCTAGCATGCTGCACACGGACCAGTAATTGTTGCTGGTGACCGAAAGAGCTTTGGCCGACTGGAATGTACTGACTTGGTTCCCCCTTGTAGGCATCAAAGATCGGAGCCCGTCGGGGACAGATAAGCCCGGTGTGACAGAGAATGGGATCTCTGGTGCTGCACCAGAGAAGCAAGTCGCCAAGCGTGGGAAACTATCGTCATGGAAGCCCTGAAATCTGAGAACAAGAAGAGGGTCCTTCCCTCATGGATGACAGCCCCCGTGGGAGAGAAGAGGGAGTCGTTAGTGAAGACACCCAAAAGGAAGAAGACAGCAACCGTGCCAGTTAGGGTGGCAACAAGGTGGGCCAGCCTGTGGACGGCTCTTCTCAGGGCGGGCGGGGCAGTGAGGTGGGTGAGCGTCTGCGGTCTCAGCTGCCCCCTCCCAGAGAAGGCTCAGGTGCTGCTGAGGCCCTGCGTCTGGCTGTTGGCACAGGCAGTTCTGTGTACAAACCATGGCCTCGGGAGCCAGTTGACTAAAGAGCCAGTCTCTTCATTTGTGACCAAAACTGTAAGTTGGCAAGATGAGTGGACCTGAACTCCCGTGGCCCGGGTGGTGCCTGCGCTTCCTGAGGACTGTCAGAAACCAGAGGTTGTGGGTGTTAGGTGAACGTTGGTGACTGGGGGTGGGAGAGTTATCACGTGGGTGGGGAGGAGAGCCCCGCCATTGCCCCGCCATTCTCTCAGAAGGGGCGTTAGGCTTCCAGTGCTATGCTCGCTGGCTCTGCCCTGCCGGCCTGTACCCTCTGCAGTTACTGCAGCCTCTGTCTAAATGTATTCTCACATTCAGGTACAAATCGGGCCCCGGCCTGAGGGCCCGAGTTTGTTGTGTCCATTGTTTGACTTTGAGGCAGGGTCTGTGTAACCTTGGCTAGCCTGTGACTCGCTCTGTGGACCATGCTGGCCTTGAACTCCAGAGATCCGCCTGTACTAATCCAAGGGCAGGGGTTGGTGTGTGCCACGACTCCCGGCTGTGAGGAGTCCATGGAGGGTGGGCAGCCCTGTGCTCTGTCCCTGCCGCCCCCGGGGTGAGGACATTCTCCTGAGAAGCAGTACCCCTACCCCTCCTGACCCCAGGGAGGACGCTCCCATCCCCTTCCCCCTTGTGGTTCCCTCTGCCCTCAGCCGTGGTTTGTGTCTTTATCTCAGGGCCCCTGTCACGAGGACCGTGTACTGCTTGAACGAAGCTGAAATGGTGGATGTGGCACTGGGGATCCTGATCGAGGTATCACCAGCCCCACGTCCCGACTCCTGTGACTCGAAGTCATTCGTGGGTTCAGACTAGCATAGGTCCTTGCTCCTGGTAACCGAGGATGCTCTCAGGCTGCCTCAGGCTCCCACGGCTTCCTCTTGCTCGCCCTTCCCCTCAGCTGCTTCCTGTGAGGGGCACCCAGGGGAGGGGACCAGCCGAGCAGGAGGGCTGCTTACCAGCTCTCCTCTGAGTAGAAGGCTGTGGAAGTTCCCTGGCCTCCTGAAGGAGTGAGAGCCACACTGCCGTGAAGTTGCAGAGCCGCTGGTTTCCCAAGGAGTTGAAGCTCCGCTGCTAGCCCAGTCAGGCCCGGAGCAGGCTCTGTCGCCTGGGCTCCTGGTTTTTCAGTGGGAGCCTTTCCCCTTCTATTCATGTGTTCCTCATACCTAGGCCCGCGTCTCTCCCTGGTGAGCCCTGAGCCTGAGGTGTGGGGAGCAGTGGGGTGAAGAGCGGGCGGTGCCCACAACGCGGGCAGCACTCACTGCCTGTCCTGGTCACGTGCTGCTGGCTTTGCAGTGGACTCAGACAAACTGCGTCCGGGAAACCCACCCCGCTGCTGTTGTGTTGAGCCTGTCATGTCTTCTGCTCTGCAGGGCCGAAAACAGGAAGAGCCGACTCTGGCGGCCACTGATAACCTGCAGTTCTCCCCACCCTACTCTGCGTCTCCTCACACCAGTTCCCCAGGGAGCAGCGGCGAGGAAGAGGGCGGTGGGAGCTCCTCGCCTGCTCTAGGCCTCAGCCCTTCCCGTGGGCCAGAAGCCACGGACTCTCCCTGCAGCAGAAGCCCCGAGGGGGAGGAGGAGGATGCACTAAAGTACGTCAGGGAGATATTTTTCAGTTGACATGAACTGCTCCCCGGACTTTCTGCTGAGCGCAGTGGGCACCGCCCGCCCCGGCCCCCTCGACAGCCAGGCCTTGCTCCCAGCTTCCGGTCCCAGGATGCTTTCATTTGTGTGTGGGGGGGAGGACGTTCCTGAATCGCGGGGAGGGGTGTTGCAGGATGCAGAACTGCAGTCGTTGGGGTCTCGTCCTGCGCGGCCCTCTAGCTCAGAGGGTCTAGCTGTGCTTTATGCAAGCACCAGCGCCCGTGAGGTCGTGGGCCCGCCCCCTTGCTGGCAGCTGCTGAGAACCCCGGACTCCAGATGGGCAGCCAGATGGCGCACTGAGGAGGAGGCCGAGGAACCGTGTCCACCATGACCCCGTCCAGCAGGCGGCTTCCACCCCTCCAACCGAAGAGGCCGGGAGCCCCCCACCGCTCCCTGCCAGCCTAGCAGCAGGGGGGCCGCGCAGTCTGGCCAGCCGCGCAGGTTCTCCCCACCACCTGTCGCCTCCCTGCCACCCGGGGCCTCCACCTTGGTCCCTGTACAGCTCAGAGAGAGAGAGAGACAGGGACAGGAGACAGCGAGGATAAAAGATCACGCCAGAGTCCATGTTTCCTTGTATTCACTGTGGCTTTTGATGAGCACAGGATGGAGAACTCGTTGCCATGTAGGTTTTGTGCCGTACAGACCCTGAGGACTACATAGTGAGCCCCGGGGCCTGGTTCTGGGGGAGGTGAGGGGGTGCGGGCGTGTCTGCGTGCAGTCGGCTCTTCTGTCCCGGTCATCTCCAGGCTTCGGCACGCCTTGCATCTGCATTCCTGGCTCACGGGAACACAGCTGCCTCCGGTCTGGCACCAGGTCCAGGGACCCGTTCAGGGGACCCCACAGGGCCAGCGAGGCTTCTCCTGTGCCCTGTGCTGCTTAGCTGAGTCCTTCTGAGGCTGCTCCTGGACCTCTGGGGCTGCAGTGCTGGTGCGGGGGGGGGGCATCACAGGAGGGGCAGGAGCTGGGTAGCAGGACTGGATGGCAAAGCGGTTTCTTCTAAGGTCCCCTTGCTGCCGTAAAGTTTCACAGAGTTCTTGTTTGGCACTTTGGCAGACTGGCTTGGGAATCTGGCCTCTGGCAGTCAGGATCTCACCTGCCTGAGGCTAGAGCCATAATTTCAGGCAGGGGCCCGCGTGCCAGTGAGCTACCTGGTTTTGGAGCCCTCCGGAGCATGGAAGGACACTAAGACGCCGCAAGTGCCGCAGCCACCCATGCTGCCTCTGGTGTCCTTACGGTTCTCGTCTGCCTGGGCTTGAGATCCACACCAGCTATGAAACAAGGTGCTCGAGAGGACCCACCCAGTCCCAGGTCCGCTGGCGCCTTCCCGGAGCCCCGCTGGAACCGAAGCCCTGTGATCCCGTAAGCCTTTGGACTGGGCTAGCAGCCCTCCCACGTGCTCTCGTCCTTCTTCCCCCGTGGAGGGAACATAACCGTGGCCATGAGCAACAAGACGAGCAAGGCCTGGGCCAGGCACAGAGCCAGAAAGCCAGACCCCAGGAAGGCGAGCCTGACCCACCTCCACACGAAGGAGAGGAAGAGGCCTAGTCCTGTGGCCAGCAGCACGGAGGCCGCCGCCAGGAAGCCCACCGCCAGCCGCCACTCTGCTTCATCGCTGTTGCACTGGGCAAGGAGGAGAGGCAGAGGGACAAAGATTGTGAGGACCAGGGCCCCATACGCACCGAGCCTGGCCAGGGCTAGGCCAACCCGAGGAACCCCCAGGGCCTCCAGCTCGGGGAAGTTGTAACACTGTAGGGAGCCAGAGCCTTCCTTCCACAGACAGAAGTTGTAGAAGCCGAGTCTCAGGTTAGGCAGGTCAGCGAGGTTGCCAGCCTTCCAGAGGAGAGCGTAGGCCATCAGGGAGAGGGTCACAGCCACGAGGACCACGATTCCCGCGAAGGGCAGGCAGTTGCGCCGCCACGGCCTGGAGATGGCCATTTCTTCTGCCCTCGCAGGGCGACCTGGGAAAGGTCACGCCAATGAGTACTGAGGTCTTCCCCAGGCATCCGCGGGGGCCTGAAGTATCCCGAGCCAGCCCCTCACCTCAAAGGCTTCCCTGCAGCCCAAGGCTTCCCTGCAGCGTAGATGCAAGCCTTCAGAAGCTGTGTGTGTGTGTGTGTGGGGGCTCATCCTCGGGGAGGCGGGTTTGGGTGAGCGTGAGGTGAAGCCACGGTTAGGCGGGGCTGCAGTGAAGGTAGGGCTTGGAGGCTTGCCTTGAGTCTCAGTTCTCACCCTGACGCTGACAGCCCTCGGGGACTGAACAGCCATCCGAGCTAGGCTACACATCAGTCAAATGTGTGCACCGGTGTCCGCGAATCAGTGTGTGCTCTGGGTGTGCATTGGTGTCTGCGAAGCCCTACGTACGACTTGGTTGGATGTGAGCCCAGCTGGAGGGTCAGTGGCCTGTGTCTCCTGCCCAATTTTGGGAACTGACTTGGGTAAAACAGGTCCTCCCTTATGATAAAATCACACCATCGCACTCCATTGATTTTAAAACAGGTTCTCCCCTATGATGAAATCACACCATTGCACGCCATTGATTTTAAAACAGGTTCTCCCCTACGATGAAATCACACCATCGCACTCCATTGATTTTAAAACGTCTGTCTGTCCACCCCCCATAGCAACGGTAATCTATTAATCCTAGGAAATTCAGAAAATATGTTTTAAAGAAAAAATTAAAACAATCCTTTATCCTATCACCCCAGGAAAACCACTGTTCATATTCCACTAATATTTTCCCTATGTGACTGTAATTTTAAAAAACACACTGTTAAACACAATGATTTTTCATTGACTGTAGTGACCATTTTTCATAGTTGTTGAAAAATTCTTCAAAATGTGACTAATAGTTACATAATAATCAATCCACAGGCTGGGCGTGGTGACACACACCTTTAATCCCAGCACTCGGATGAAGAGGCAGGCAGATCTCTGAGTTTGAGGGCATCTTGGTTTACATAGTGAATTCCAGGACAGCCAGGACTATGTAGAGAGACTGCCTCCAAAAAGAAAACAAACAAGCAAAACCCCAAAACAAACAACATCCCCCCCCAAAAAAAACCAAATTCCACTCATAGGGCTGTTTGTTTCACTGTCTTGGTGATCTTAATACATATTTGCTAGACAGACCTACAGAAAACTCGCCAATGCCATCTCTTTGGGTGTATACAAAAGTGCCTATTTTGCCAGGCAGAGGTGATTCACTCCTTTAGTCCCAGCACCGGAAAGGCAGAGGCAAGTGGATCTCTGAGTTCGAGGCCAGCCTGGTCTACAATGCAAGTTCCAGGACAACAAAGTCTGTCCTGAGAAACCTGTCTCAAAAAAGAAAGAAAATAAAAAAGAAAAGAAGGTGCCTATTTTACTACACTCTCATTACTCAAAAAAATCTTTTCATTGCTCTTTTATTCAGAGGGAATTATTAAATTTGCTTCAAATATAGTAGTCTGCACACTGTGCCTTTCTGTATGTATATTTCCCACTAAGGAATAAAACAAATGTTTACACCAAGAATGCAGAGCTGGGAACCTTGTAAGATGTCATTCCTGTGGTCCTATTGTAGAGATGCAGGAGCAGCCCAGCGCCTGGGGATCAACTTCCTGGGGCCCTCCTTTGGGAAAAGCTCCTCCCACATTTGTTTTTACAAGAACACAAAGGAATTAAAAGAGAAAGGATACTTGCCAGCCTTAAAGGTGTATGCGGGGGAGGGGGCTGGAAGAAGGGGGATTTTTTTCAAAGGCCCCCAATATATGACACAATAGAGATTCACTGGTGGGTTTTGGCAGCCCTCTGGCAGTAGCCATGTGCCTGTTACAACACTGGCATCTGAATCCACACTGCCTGTCCCCAGCATCTTGCTGCCCAAGTATGCCCAGTTCCTGGCTCTCACCCCTCCAGAGGAGCCCAGCAGGGAGCATCTCCGAAGCAGCCTTGGCTTCTGTCAGAGGCCCTGCTGGCTGGGGCCAGGGATGCCCTGTTTGAATGTACTAGGGATTCTTGAAGCAGTGATGCTCGCTATAGGAAGATTTGTCAAAGCTGTAAAAGGCAGCGTTAGTTCCATATGTCTCTGTGTTGGAAGGATGGAATACTCCATGTAGCCATGGTATGGAGAAATTCCCAACATATTTTAATGGTTGTTTTTTGTTTGTTTTTGTTTTTTACCATTTAGCTTTTTGTTGTTGTTGTTGTAAAGTCTATTTGTGTGCTTTTAGAGAGGCATTTCAGGATGTGGGGTGAGTTTCTGGGTGTGGGACCCCTGTTTATCCAGTGATGCTGTGGTAAATAAGGCTTGCCCAGCCTGTACTACCCAGAAACCACCAGGGTGGGAACTGGGAGGCTCCTGTTCAAATTTTACTTAGGGTAAAATACTACCCATGAAGCTCTGTCAGACAGCGAGCTTGGCTTCTCAGAGGCGGCTATGGCTACCTCAGCACAGCTCCTGAGCATTTGCGGCTTCCGATCTTTTGGAGGTTTGGGTAGGTTACTGTTTTGTTTTGCCCTGTTGTGATATGAGTCTCTCCGTGTAACCCAAGTTGGCCTCAAACCCTGTGATCCTCGTACCCCTGCTTCTAGAATGCTGTGATTATGGCATGTGCCGCCACACCCGGCATTCCAAAGGCTTGCACAGAGAGCAGAGCAAGAGGAAACCGGAAGGAGGGGTGCAGGCCGGGGCATGTGGGGCAGGCTGTGCTGACTTTGCTCTGCTTGCCCTTGAAGGCAGAGGTCAGTCCTAGCTCTGTGCCGGCGCTTGCTTGGGGTTCTCTACCGTCTGGCATGTCTTAGAACTTGAATTTTACTGGGGCTCGGGTCCCTTTGTCTCTGCACTCGCCTTTGTGTGGCCAGGCTTTTCTGCTTAGGCTGTGCCCATTTCTTCCAGCCCACACTCAGCCAGTCTCCTCTGAGCAGGCCAGAAGCTGCAATTACACCAGAACGCAGTGTTCCAGAGGAACAGTCTCCATCTATCTTACCCCGAGGAGGCTGCTAGGAATTATTTTTGGAATGAAAGAACGAAAATGCCCTCTGGCAGCATCATGTGTTAGGGCCACACCTCGGCAAGACGGCAGAGCATGGTGAGGGGCTCTGTCTATGCCTTTCATTTTCCTGGCAGTGTGGGGATGTCCATTCGGCTTCCTACTAGAAATACACACTTCAGAGGCTGGTAACTCTCCCCCACTCTTCAACTCTCTTGCCACAGGACCTGTTTATTCGGTTGGAAACTCGATGACACTCTTCTAGCTGGCCCAGCAGCCTACCTACCCTGTGTTATTTCTCCAACAACCATGGCAATCCCATTCTTGCCACAAAACAGCCCCATTTCCCTGCGATAAGGCCTCAGTTTCCTTCAAAGGGCAAGAGGGTCTAGAGCAGCGGTTCTCAACCTTCCTAATGCTGGGACCCTTTAATACAGTTCCTCATGTTGTGATGACCCCAACCATAAAATTATTTTCGTTGCTACCTCATAGCTGTAATTTTGCTACTGTTATGAATTGCAATGTTAATATCTGCGTTTTTGGTGACCCCCGTGAAAGGGTCATTCGCCTCTAAAGAGGCCATGACCCACAGGCTGAGAACCACTGCTCTAGAGACCGCTGAGTCGTGGTGGCCATTTTTGAATAAACTTCTCCCTGTCTATAACAAAGTAATTCGTGTTGGTTGCAGAAAACTATGAAAACATATCAAAGTGTGGAGAAAGACTAAAAATCACCTACAACTCCTGGTCAAAGGGACCAGCAAGCCACTCTCCTGTCATGCTCTGCATGTTAGGATCACATGGGTCTGCGTGTACACAAGCATACATATTTATGTCCTGCGATTGTTTCCTGTTATCTTTAAGGGCTTCCTGGAGCTCTTAGAGCTTATAGACTTTATAAATTAGTCTTATAATTTATCTCATAATATATGAATAATGCCATGCGAAGAAGTGTTTGTGAATAAATTTATCCTTCTAGCAGCTTAAGTTAAAAATTTTATACTTTGTGTGTGCATGTGTGTGTGTGCGTGTATGCATGTGTGTGTGTGTGCGCGCGTGTGTGTGTGTGTACACGCATGCGTGTGTCATACCTCGTGTGGAGGCTAGAGGGCGCTTACTGGAGTCAGTTCCCTCCTCCCCATGTGGGTTCAGAGAACAGAACTTGATTTGCCAGCTTTGGCGCTTCTCTCTCTACTCACTGAGCCATCAAGGCCCCAGCTTAACTTTTTAGTTCCACTGTATTTTAGGGGTGAAGTCACCACACCGCCCAGGCTGGTCTTGAGCTCCTTGGGCAAAAAATAAGCCTTCCCAGTAACTGGGGCATGAGCTACTTGCTGGTAAATGCTTATCCTACCCATCCTCTCAAATGCTGCATAGTCTTGAACCATCTAATCTTAGCTACTGATGAGTCACTGTTAGTCACCGTTACTCAATGCTTCCTTCGGAAGTCAAGATCAGCATATTCAAGTGTTTACTGGTCATCTGTGTCTCTTCTGTGGCATTCTTTTGCTTTTTAACATCAACTTTGCGAACATATGCAAGTTCTTGGGTTTGATCCTAACACTGCCCAAAAGAAACTATTCTGGCCAGGCAGTGGTGGTGCACGCCTTTAATCCCAGCACTTGGGAGGCAGAGGCAGGTGGATCTCTTGTGAGTCCAAGGCCAGTCTGGTCTACAGATCGAGTTCCAGGACAGACAAGGCTACACACAGAAACCTGTCTTGAAAAACCAAAACAGAAAAAACAAACCAACAAAAAAGAAATTATTCTGCATTTTACATTTCCTGTGTGAGTGCTGTGCTGTCAAGGGCTGACAGGTATTTTGTCACTGTGCCCAGTAAAGCAGGGTCTTCCTGCTGCCCCAGGCCCCGAGCTCTAAGCCCTCCTCCTGAGCTGAGGCTCCAGCCCATGAGGGTTTGAGGCCACAGCCTGAGAATGACCTCGGGAGGTGGTAATTTCTGCTTGAAGGTAAGGAATGCCCAGGTGTGGAAAT